ACTACCATTGATCCTGATTAAATTGCATAAAACGTTGCAGTTTCAATACGCGACTTGTCAAAGAGAACATCGCTTTATTGAAAAAATAAACAAAATACAACTAACTCACTTATAACGCACTTCAATAAAGCAGTTTACAAATTGTGGTAAAATGGAGTTTAAATACTGTTTTTTCAATATGCAAGAATCGTATAAAACATTTATATAACGCGACATTTTTGTGGAACGAAATATTCGCGTTATAGGAAAGTTACCTGTTATAAAAAACTGATATTTTTTTTGTTTATGAGTGACAAAACATACTCGAGGCACGATATTTATTCGTTCGTTTTGTCTTACAAATGTCACACGCTGTCGTTTTCGGCTCGGGAATTACGTAAGATAAATCGATTTGGTGAATATACGAATCTAATTCATTTCACGAAAGCAAATCCGACTTACATATATTGTTGAAAGTGAAGTATCAAAGGTTATTTATGTGACGTTCTACAAAAAAAGAACACGCGACTACTGCGCAGTAAAGAGTATCCGACAAACTAGTTTTTTTTCTGTTTATAGTGTTTTTTTCATCCTATAAATAGGATATTTAATAGTGTCTGTATATAGCCAGCACACACACAGTATATATTTGGTACGTAATTCTTCGTAAAATAGAAAACTTTCGCACTTGAAAATGACCCAAAAGAGCAACCACACATAAGACAGTAAAAAAATTAAAATAATGTATTTCATTTACTGTCGGTGCATGGTACACTAATTATTAGTCGTGTAACGACAAAGAAACGGCAGATTTTGACAGTTACACTAGACAAATCGTTTGTAAAAAACATTAATAGAATTACAAAAATAAAAAAAAAACTGCTCGGTATCGATGTGCAATCGCGTCTCTGTATAACAGGAAAACTAAGAATACAAAGGTATAATAACCATGCAAAATTGAAAAGATAAAATAAAATAATGGAAGATTAATAAAATATTCACTTGCATGTGTTTCATCAATAGTTAGGTGCACTTTAATACGATATCATCGCGACACCCAATGTCAGCTGGTTTTCCTTCCTTTACCGTACAAATCGTCTCTCATGCATAAATTAATAGTCCGGCAGTAAGAGTTTCTTAGAATATGATATGAGACAAAAATGAAATTAAAAAGAATCCATTAACTTTGGAAATTCTAGTATATAAAACTGATAGTGAATAAAGAATACTATAATATATGAAGAACTCCGAACCACCAGTAATATTTTCTTTTTAAAATCGCAAAAAGAAAATATTGTGTAGTATATTCATTCTTAAAGTCGTGTGTGTCATTGTAAAACATAATGTGAGAGTTGGATGTGTAACTGTTTGCAAGTACAAAAAGAGCTTTGTTATGTACAATTTCCAATTTTATTTTTCAATAAACCTTGCGTATTGTGTTACAAATATTTTAAAAGCTACGCACGTTACGTCAAAAAAAGACACCTAAAGGTAGGAAGCATCATAGATATTGTTATAATTTAATTGTATTATTTCTCCCCAAAAAATTTGTAAATGTACAACAATAGCAATTTATAAATAATACATAGATATTTGTATAATTTATAAATATTTGTACAGTATATAAATATTTGTGAAACAGATAGTTATTATATTATCTGTTTGATATACAGAGTAGTAGTACACATAATTTATCGACGAAATAAAACAAACTTTTGCAAATTTATAATACTGTGTTTTTTTCAGTATTTTTATTTATATCAGTTTGAATTTTAATTTCAAATACAAATTAAACGGATAGTAGAATGGGTTATGAACAGATACGAGCGTTTCGTATATATCAACGTATCCACATGAGACTTCTTAGCGTTTACAATTTGTGCTACATTCGTACAAAGTTGCACACGATTGCGTGCATGTATATATTTGCTTCTTGTGTTATAGTACTGTATTTCTTCACAAATAATGTTTTTCGGAATAGACATAGCGTGCCCGCATTACTAGTCAACATAGGAAGGCTAATAACTGGTGTAGCCATCGTCTTCAAGGTACAATCAGACAAAACAAAAAAGAAACTAGAGATTAATTGTGTGTGAATAGAAACAATATGAAGATATTACCTGTACTTTATTTTAAAAAACTGAAAGCACAAAATAAATGAATCTTATATTCTTCTTCAGCTGTGTTTTTAACTTTATCTTCAATGCACTGGAAAATGTATTATAATATTTAGTTTTGTTACAGCTATTCTTCTTTGTAATAAATCTCACAACTATTTTGAATCTTCAAACAACGTTGCTCAACGCTTTCGAAAAAGATCTGGCGCAGAGACCCAAATCAACACTGCAATGTTCTGTGTACAAATTTTGCATACCAGCTTACATTCAAATGGTCTCATTCTTTTGCGCGTGCGTAACATATGCCACTCCGTCAACTCTTTACATTCTCCGTCAATTAATTCACTGTCAAATACCAGATACGAACTACACATTGATGATGACGTTTGGACATGGATATCCGTGGACTATTCCCAAAGGACTCCTTTATCATTTACATTTTCTCTTCGAGTTACTTCAACTTACTATCATTTGCATCACGGCTATCTCGATCGATTGCTTCTTTAGTTTCTACTCCTTTCTATTCTGTTCGAATCTTACGGCTTTGTCTGGTATACTAACTAATTCTCAACCAAAACATAAATTTATGGATTTAATACACAAGAGTTTGAAAAAGCACAATGAACTAATAGAATGTTTGAAGTGTCTCGTGCATATCTACGGACCCATCGCATTTTTGCACATTGTCACCAACTCTATACAAATGTGTGTCTTCACGTATCTCTTAATGGTACGCAAATAAATAGCATAAGATTCAGTTTGCAAAATAGTTGAGTGACGGTTATTAATCTTTTGCGAACAGACATTGGTCTCTTAGACTTACTCAAAAAAGTGCATTGACGTCGCCAGTAGAACTTAGTGTTTTTAAAAACTTTTTTATTTTGGGAATTACTAAGAGATTGTTTTAAGTTGTTTTTTTTTTTTTTTTTTTTTTTTTTTATCGACGCTGTCGATCGTTTGTTCAGATTTTTTATTCAAAAAAACAAACTTGAAAAAATTGATTTTCCGCGGAGATATTTGAGTTTAACTTTGCGAGGATTTTAGATACAAAACTGTTCAATTAGTCGTCAGTTTTGAGGTCTGTCCACAAAAAATTAATATATTTGGCGCAAACTACCTTATTTCTTTTTCTCATTCTTACACATACACACATTTACTTTTCTTTACTTTTCTTTTGTTATCTTGTTGGACTTAGCTTTTTTTTATTTTTCTCATCCAACTATCTTTTGTATATGTGTCAAAATATATATGATCACTCAAACATAAAACGTGAGTAAAACAAAATTTAAAAGATTACAGAAATGTCAGTGGGCAGTATGGTTTATCTTTTTACATACGCATTTGGGAAACTTTTCCAAACGTATACGTACTGTTGGTATGGCACCTGTATCATGAATAGCGTAAGTCTCATATGTTTAGTATAGGGTTTAAACGAAAAAACAAAGATACGAAATTAGTGACTTTGGTAGTCAATTTTATCCATTTAGAGTGAAAAATTGCGTGAGGGAGTGTATTTTAGCAAGTGGCAAGACACAGCTTTAGATGTACATGTAAAATCAAGTGTTACGATAGCGTTGATGCAGAAGCCGATGTCTGTTTGTGCATTGGTAATTACTCTAGATCTCGAAACATTTTGCGGAGTAAGTATTTATGTTTTTCGAAGTAAACTTGTTTATTATAAATCTACAGATTTCTTGAGAAACTTCTTACAGGTTTTGTTTCTTAGAATTCTTTTTTATTATTTTCTTACTTTTAAAAAGTTACATTTAAAAAAACATAAAACATAAATGGATTTATATGCATGTACATAGAAGAAAGAGAACACAGATGCGCACAAAAGTAAACAAACACAGCAAAATGTGTCAATTAGATACAGATCTAATTGGACATTACAAGACACGAACACATAACGGATTCATTCAAACACGAGGTGAAACGGACACACTAGCAACGGACATATGATCTATTCGGATACAGTTTTAAATAAACGTGATTACGTGTAATCGTGACCGAGTATGTCTGTCCGATATGCACATCCTGTCGTGTCCGTTTTGAGCGCATTTGGAACTCTTTTATATAGAAAAATTATAGTATAATAATTTTTCACTTCAATACAGCGGAGCCGACTGTGATTTCTTTATGCGAGAATTTATATTAACGCAATTTTGATGTTTTTACGAACAGGTTATTAATACCGCCATGTCATATTTGTGCCTGTTACGATCACTGGAAAATTAAGGAACACCGTGTTACAAGCATCATAGACAGTATATTGTGTTATACAAATATAATGAAAAAGTAAGGAATAAATTATGAGAAATATTATATATGTCTCTGATTATAAATTATTAATTTTTAATCCGCCAACATGATGCCGTATAATCGCTATGAGAACGGAATATAATATAATATTGTAATATAATACTGTAATATTGTACCGTATGTTGGAGAAGCGTTCTCTTTTATTAACGGCACGGAAAGTCGGAGATTCCAGGTTCGACTCCTGGCCGAGGAGTTTTTTTCGCAATATAAATTTAATTTCAATTAGGGGGGTATTTGGGATTTCTCATATACGAGATGCAAGTATAGCATCCAATATGAATTTTAGAATTGTTATTTCAATTCGAATTTCACGTGTAAAAATTTACATGTGAACACGTATATATATATGGATATATATACACATATAATTTCTGCACAACACCTAGCGAACGGCTCCTATGACAATTTGTAAATATTACTTAATTAAGTGTATAACATAAGTATTTGTATAACAAATAGTTGTTTATATACTATCCATTTAATATCTATATTATTGGTACACATTATTTATTGATACAATAAAACTACACAAACAATTATGTCAAAAAGTTATATCTATAAAAAACATAAAACTATATATATATATATGTGCGTCAGAGTCCAAAGTCTAAAATGATAATAAATATTGCAAATGTTGCAAAATGACTTTTCTATTCAGATTGACCCAATATAATTTCATATTACGACTGTGTTAAAATTTTTGAGACACATCGATATATATCTAGTTTATTAAATACGTATATGAAATAGCTGTTACTAAAAAAAATGCTACGTGGCATTTACGAGTCTGTTTGTAAAATTGAACGTTTGTAAAATTGAGCGAGTAAGTTTTTTTATGTATCTCTATTTTCTAGTTATTTTATTAATTAAACTTTTGTTTTCTTTTTTTAGTTTTAAAAGTAAAAAAACCTAAAACCTTTCTACATTTACTAAAAAGTCTCTCTCTCATAAATCTGATCCTCTATATTATGAAAGATATCTTACCGTTTTCTATCAAGGCATGAACAACTACACATACTATGTGTATGCAGACACACATTCAAAATGTTTTTATCACAAAGGATCAAGAGAATGTGAATACGAGTAAAAAGATGCACTTTCGCCAATTTCAATAATTGTGTTTTAATTATTATTAGATAAGTTCACTTTGTATAAATCATTGTTTACGTCTTAAACCATAATTCATAAAGTAATTGCTTTGTTGCACACAGTATAACGTAACTTTGCTCTTTGATATTGTCGTCTTGAAACTATATAGAAAAAAAAGTATTTTACATGTAGACAACATTTTTATCTGATTATGCATACTTATACGCAATTATGCAATCGATATAATTATATATGAGACTATATATTCAGTCTCGTACATAAGTGTATGTAAATAGATATCGAAATTGTCTGTATTTGCAGGCCTTTTATTGCCAGGAAAAATATGTAAAATATAAAGTATTGCAAATATATTAATGTACTTTGTTAGTAAAACACAAGCGTTTCCCATAACTTCTTGTTATATATCCCTTCTATTCTTATTTTAATTTAATTTATATTTTGTTGATCGGTACAAATTTTACACGAACTGGATGAGCAGGACGAATTACCATATCCATCTTTAACTGAAGATTTCTCAAGTAATCAACGGGCTCCAGATAAAAGTGATATACTAGAGGTGCGATCATAGCTTTCAATTCGTACATAGCAAACCGTTGACCTGCCGCACACACAGTAAATCAAAAAAATGGTTTTCTCGTCTGAAAAACGGACAAAGAACGCAATTTACCTATGCAATTTCGCGGTCCCGCACTAAACGGTATGTAGCAATAAGGATGACGATTTCGCACTTGATCGGGCAAAAATCGATCCGGATCGAATACGTCCGGATTCGGCCAGAAATGAGGATCTCTGTGGACGGCGTAGATATCAATACTCACATGTGCATTAGCCGGCACTATGTACGACTCTATGAGAGAACAAAAAATAATATCTACATGTATACACTTGCATGGCAATGACGTGTAACAATGTAACATAATCTATGATAATGACATATTAAAAATCTATATCGCAACGCACTAATATACGTACGACATTTTATATCTTCTGCAAGAGAGCGTGATATGTTAGGCACACTGGGATACAATCGCAGCGCTTCTTTCAAGCATCTCTCTAAGTACTGTAGCTTTTGTAAAGACGCCATAGTCAAATTTCCTTTAGTCTCTTCCATCACATCATTAACTTCAGTCCTGACACGATCCTGTATAAATTGTTGAAAGTTATGGTATTCTGCTACTTTTCATTATAAACGTTTTTGTGAAGGTTTTGAGATGTGACTTTACGAGACTATCATCTGTAATTACTTTTAAAAGATATAATATCTGACTAATTTCGTTTAGAAATAATTAAATATATAGAAAAATAGTTTCAAAGAGAACTGACCAAAACAAAGAATGACTTAATTGGTTCTTTGTCATATTTATTGATCACAAAATACCTGAATATCTTTGTGCTCAGCTAATAATAATAAAGCAAAACACACACCCATTGCCGTAGTATCGTGACCCTGTAATTATACGTATCTATTTCTTAGTAATTATATATATCTCAATATATATAAGAAGAAACAAATTGGACGCATACTACACATTATACGTGCCTCGAACATGAAGGTGTCAACTTCCTCTCTGATGTCCAAATCGGTTATATCATTTTCTCGAGATGCCGCTATTAGAAGATCCAACATAGCAAGTCGCTTTTTGCGAACTAAGGTAACAAAATATATACGGTTATGTGACACTTCTTATATATATAACAAAGAAATATTAGATTTTCTCTTTTTATATTCCTATCAAATTTTAGCATCAACAGTATCTGACTGCGTTACATACTTCCGATCACTTCTGCGTCATCTGTTTCTGGCGATATGTTAATTTCAATGTTTTTTAAATATCGGTCCTTTGTGCGTTCGTGATAAAGTTTTCTTTCTTTAATTATCTATATAAATAGAGACAATAGTTTGTGTATAATATCTTAATTCTATATTTTTTGTTAGATGTATCTTTGTATTTGTAAAGAAAAGTAATCAGAAAAAATAGTGTACACACTTTTTCAGTAAATCCATGTAATATCTTTAACATCTTAGCTTGCTTTCTATTTGTTGGAGATAATGCGAATATCAAATCGGGAAACAGCCACGGAGAGAAAAGTCTGCGCATCATAATCACGTTAATTTATATATATGTATATATATGTATATATATATATTCTAATTTAGTATACAAAGTGTCACAAAATATATGTCTGTTCAAGTTGAGGATAGAGAAAAATATTAATAATCTCAAAAATTTAGTAGCTACCTCAATTTTAAAATGTGCGAATATATATGCATATATATATATATATATGTATATATATTTATATGTATATATATGTATATGTATTATGTATGTATATTTTAATTGTATTATATGTATCATATGTACTACGTATTTATGTATTATATGATATACATATATGTGTATATATACCTAAATCTATCTAATTACCTGTGTATAATAAGATGACCTATGTCGTGTACTGCTTTCCGATACTGTTTCTCAAACGTGTCACGATTACGCAAAGAAATACCCATAGTGGTTTCTAAAAATACATGTAGCACAGCTGTATCATAACAATATAAAATCACTTTGCACATAGATTTGAGTATTTGGACGTTAGTATTCATTAATTGTATATGTTGCATATATATATATATATATATATACAGGGTATCCGACAATTACTTTAAAATCTCTCGTAAGCAGGGAGAAAGAGTAAAACTGAGTCAAAAAGTCCTGAACCATTTTTTTCTATTACATATAATAGAGTAATTATTGAATAAATCAAGCCACTCAGCGCCGATCTTTAGCCGGGCGCACGTCAGTGAGCCGCACGAAGCGCTCACGTACACCAAGCGCGTGATTTACTGACGTGCATTCGGCTAAAGATCGGCGCTGATTAGCTTGAGTTATTCAATAATTTCTCCTTTATTATATGTAATAGAAAAAAATGGTTCAGGACTTTTCGATTCAGTTTTACTTCTTCTATCTGCCTACGAAAGATTTTAAAGTAATTGTCGGACACCTTGTATATATACCTATATATGTATAGTGGAGTGCACTATATCGTTCCGCTCCAGGGGAAGTTTTTCTCTGAAATTTCTCTTCTGGCTGCTTCTACTAATGCGCGTCGTACTCTCTGCCAGCGGCCCGAGATTGAAGGAAAACGGCGCGCGGTAGTAGGGACAGCTAGAGGAGAAATTTCTGAGAAATACTTCCCCTGGAGCGATACGATATGGTGCACTCCTCTGTATATATACATACATATTATCATGTATAATATAATACAATATAATATTACTGATATGTTACTTGCGATAATAAATCTTCTTTTGATTTTGATCGTTTGCAAACCTGTATATTCCTACATGCATAGACAGAAAATATCATATATTACCGCATATTGCGTTTAGTGTATGCTCGCTAACAAATGAAACTAAATCTTGTATAACTGTTTCTTCACTTCCTTTCAGAGATTTTGTCATATGATTTCCCTCTTCAACTAAAACATCAACAAAGTGCCGTAATATATTAAAATGAAATGCAGGCGTAAGTAGTTTTCGTCGGGTGTGCCATTTGTTTCCTGAAAAAAAAACAACAGTAAGATATATATATATATATTCTTAGTATATATGTGTAAATATATATATACAAGCGATAATTCTGACTTTGTGGGCGTAGGAGAGTGACAGTCAGAGCAACGAGAGGAGTGAACGAACGAGCGCGATCAGATGCTGAATGCACGCTGATTAGCTGAGTTTTATTAATTAATATTTTGTTAATTATTACGCAAGTTGCAAAGTAGTATAGAACTTTTTGTCTTAGAATAACTGCTTCTATTTACCTACGAGCGGTTAGACGGCAATTATGGGACACCTTGTATATATATACAATCTCTAGTAGGCAAGTAGAAGAAGTAAAACTGAGTCGAAAAATCCTGAAAAATTTTTTTCTATTATATATAATAAAGGAGTATTTTAATTATTGAAGAAATCAAGTCAATTAGCACCGACCTTTAGCCGAACGCACGTCAATAAACCACCCTTCTTGCGCGTGAGTGAGCGCTCTACGTAGCTCTCTGACGTGCGCTCGGCTAAATGTCGGCGCTGATTGGCTTGATTTATTCAATAATTAAAATACTCCTTTATTATATGTAATAGAAAGAATGGTTCAAGACTTTTCGACTCAGTTTTACACTTTCTACTTGCCTACGAGAAATTTTTAAGTATTTGTCGGACACTCTGTATATCAAATTAAAACCAATGTTTTATGTAAATTATTATAGTAAAAAAAAAAAAAAATAAAACATTCTAACTTGTACACATTAAATTATTAATATATACTATGTAGTAAGCGTAACGCGATATAATTCTTATAATTAATTGAGTGATAGTGTAAGATCCATGCTTTATACATCACACATATTTAGATATGTGCATTTTCTAACGCGTCATGCATTATTTGACTATTACATATTTGCTCTTATATTTTATTGATGTAACTGTACCGATAAAAAAGTTCTGACCATTGTTTTGTGTACATGTTTTCCTTACACTATTTATAGTACAAATATAGTTGTATATTTTTGCTTTAATTCGGTTTTTTAAAATAATATAATAATTTGTAATATATTGAAGTTATTAAATATTTTAAAGTTATTATATATATAAAAACTAATGTCGTTATATTACCTTTGCTTGTAAGAAGACCATCGTTAAGCCATGGACGAAACGCGATGTATATTCTACCTTTTTCAGTATGTTTCGTGCTGCTTAAGACTGTCTGAAATTGCAAAAGAAAGACAGTGAAAATATTAAGTTTTTCTAATCTAATTTCAGTACAACTAATTAGTTTATAAATTATGTCATGTATGTATCTTTTTAAATTTTGGAGATTTGCTTTTCTTAAATTATAGATGACAACAAGTAATTCCTAAGTCGCTTAACTACGTGTCAGTGTACACTGCAAAGAAGTATACACTATTTTTATATTTTATTATACCTCCAAATCATCTGGATGACGAAGTACTATAACACATTCAGGACCCACCCAGAATTTTGTAACGGGATACATGACGACAAAATAACGCCGAATCATCCATATATTTTCTAAAAAATGTACTAAATATAGATAATATTCAAAGTAAAAGTGTGCACAACATGTAAAAGTTTTTGATAGTTTTGTTATTCTTTTTAACGAAATGTGTAAAGAAGTATAATACTTGCGTGGTGAACATTGAAATAAAAGTGCCGAACCAAGAATCGGAACACTTGGTGGACCTGGTATAAGACGAATAAGTCGCCCACTTCGTTTATGATGCACATAATAATCATACAATATTACATATAAAATCCCCAACAACAATATTGTTATAATCATGATTCACGTTGATGTCTAAAATGTATCAAATAGATTCAAGTTTATTCACAATATTCTGTTATACTAATTCTGTGTATTTCACGTGCGAACACTGATAACTTGTTTTCAGTTATGATAACGAATAAACTCCGATCTCTTTAGATCTGACACACTAGTATGTTTTACATGTGTTTCAAAACTGTTACATAGAACTGATAAATGTAATTTGAAAACTGAAATATCTTAAGTTCGTGAAAAGAATCAAAGGTCAGAAAAATATTAAATTATAACTGTGCAATGACGTCCGTTGTTTTTATCTATATGATTTTATTGCAGAGTATGCACAATAGAAGAAAAATGTCACATTGTGGCATCGCCAAAACGGATGTGTATCAAAGTCCTCTGTGCGTTTGCGTTAGACGATTACCGTGGTTAACTTCACGCAAATTAATAATAATCGATGGAAGAATAAATTTTTCCCTGACTTTTTAAGACAATTTTTGAACTATTTTCCTCAGTTGTGTAAGACATATATCACACATGCTTTTATATATTATCTGAACACACTTGATCAAGCGGAAGAACTGTCACAAACTGCGGTTTTAATGTGAATATATATATACTCTTTGTATTCATCTCTTCTCTTGTCTGTTAGTCATGAGCTGGTAGACGGCGACATATCCAAAAGTCAAGCGGAGTCTACGCATCCACAATATGTTTTCAAGTTACAAAAAACTAAACGTTTAACTTACTACATTAAATACAGTTTTTATAATTTTCAGGTTTTATTTTTTAACTATTATTTACTTTTCTTCAATTCAGACATGAATAATATAAATTTACAGTGATCAAGCTTTGTTAGAGAACTGCGTGTGTGTGTGATTATTACTTAAATTAATCACCAACACACAAAACACAAACAATATGTGACTGAGATATCACATACATTTCGCATATCATATCACAATATCTTGCTGTTTACATTTATATAATAGGTATGTTTACTGGTGTTTGAACACATTTGAATTTGATTATTTTTTTTATTTTCAAGTTGTTTTGTGATATATTTATAAAAATGTTCACTTGTTTGTTTGTAGTTATCTTGATGTCATCTCTCCATGCAATTATTTTGAACATTTATCATGTTTTTTTTCGAGTGATTTCAATACGCGCGTGCTTGTTTTTTTATTTTGAAGTCATTGAGGACTGGAAAGAGCATTGCAGTGGGAGCGAGAGATATGAATTTTGGAATTGGAATTTATGTCATAGGAGATTGTGTATAACGCTTTCTACCGTAAATGCAGTCGATATACGTAAAACCTGATAAGAAAACATTTACACAAAATTATGTGACGAAATCTTGCACTAAAATTGTAATTTGCAATTATATAGATATATTTTAGGAACTAGATGTAAAAACATTGATCTTTTATAAAATATTTGTAGTTGTTTGCAAAATTACTTTCCAAATACTATTTTGGCAAAAATAACGATATGGCGTATCATCGTAGCAGTAAATTTGCAAACTTAATTTCAAAAAGAAATTGTCCAATAATTGAGAAAAACATTTCAGCTATGTGATATTTAAAATATGTAGAAATATAATTTTATTAAATAACATATTAAAATAAATTTTACGATATTTTGTAATTATATTGTATACATATATTATAGTAATATAAATCTTTAAATATATAGAGACATTAAAATGGTTTATTTTGCATAATTTCTATTTATTATTTAAGGTTGTTGTCTATTATATCTAATCATCTATAATTTTCTTAATTTGGATTAGATTAGGTAATGGAACCTTTGGCACGTGCTTTAGATATTTTGCAAGGTGATACAAGAATATATATAGGATACTTATTACCAGTTCTAACTATATTACAACAAAAATTAGAAACTCTCAGTAAATCTAATCTAATAAATTGTCATTCATTGATTTTAGCTATCCAGCAAAGTTTATTAAAAATTTGTAATAATATGTTAATATGTTTAGTTTCAAATATAGAGATTTAATTAACATAATATTTTTTTTATTTTAAAATATTTGTTTAAAGTATTTTAGTAGAAAAAAACAATGTCACCTGGTTGTATATTTATATTTAATTTCAGATTTCTAACAACTTTTGAAAACAAAGAATTAATAGTAGCAAATTGTCTACATCCTAAATTTAAGTTAAATTGGTTAACTGGAGAGAAGAAAAAACTTGCTGAAAGTTATTTGGAAGATTTATTAGGAATTCGATCGACCGAAAATTCTTCACAAACTGGAAAATCTGGTGATCACGAAGATTGTTTTATCTTTGAGCAACAAAAAATATCCCAAAGTGAATCGGAAGAGTTGCAACCTTTTCTAAAATCTAAAACTTGTAATATAGAAATGTTAAACGATTACCNAAAAATCAAAAAACATTTTATTAAATATAATACAGTACTTTTTAGCAGTGCATTAGTAGAAAGTATGTTTAGCGTCGGCGGTTCCGTGTTAACACCAAATCGCGGACATTTATGTGACGATACTATTGAGTAGCAAATTCTTTTAAAAATAAATACAAACTTTCGGGAATAAAATTTTCATTACCATCACATTACAGATATTTATGATACTATTAAGCAGCAAATACTTTATCAATAAATAAAGAATTTCGAAAATAAAATTTGCAAAATTTAGTTTAAATCCTGTAATTTCTAACAAACTTTTCCAAGTTAAAAGTTTTTGAAACAACGATGTTAAATTAAACAAGTAGAAATTTTCAAACATTTTGTAGTAAAATAACAAATACAACATAATTTTAATAATTATATTGTTATTGACATAAAAAGTGTAATATTTTGAATAATATATAAAATTAATAATTTTGATAATATGTAAACTTAATTATTTTGATAAAATTTTAAATAAGAATACCTTTTAAAAAGTTGTAAATAAGCTCTTTTTTAAAATTTGTAAATACTGTAATATGAAATTATAGAAAAACTAGCAATATGAAAAGTTTTTAAATTTACATTTATAGCATTTGCAAATTTTCAGGAAAAAGCTTATTTATATATTTTTGAACATTTTTCTTATTTCAAATATCTTATTGTCAAAATTATTACTTTTATTTATTATTAAAATTCTTACAATTTACCTTAATAACATTAATTTTTAATTTATATTCGAGCTCGTTACTTTGCTAAAAAATAATATTTAAAAAATTCTAGTGATTACTATAAACTTGTAATATTTAACGTTTGAAATGAAAAAGTTGTGCATAAATTTTGTAATATGTACAAAAAAATTAACGGATATTGTAACGATTCATTACTTTTCAAGTAACGGTAACGGTAACGAGTTACTTTTTAAAATTGGTAACGAGTAACGGTAACGAGTTACTTTTATAAAGTAACTTTTCAAACTTTGTTGAAATCAGACGACAGCAATTATTCAATAATTATTCTGCTAAACGCGGCAATTTTTTTTAGTCGCTATAGACCGTCAATGTTAAAGAGTATGTTTTTAAATATTTTAGTAGCTCCAAGCCATCCATCTGGATGACAAATGATCACAGCATTTACAAAGCTTGCACAGACTTTTAACGAGATATATTGTGTTGGTGAAAAAAACACAGAATATGTTATGCATCTTCGGAGAGGTGTACTAAATACAGATAATATTCTAGTAAATGTAACATTTAAAAGTTCTCGGTTATTCGTTTTAACGTAATGTATAAAAAGAGGCATATGATACTTGCCTCGTAAACATTCAAATAAAAGTTCCGAACCAAAACTCGGTACAGTTGGTAAATTTGGTATAAGTATCGATAAGTCGTTCACTTCGTTTATGATGCACATAATAATCATAGAATAGTACACGCAAAATCAATGATCGTAATATTGTTGTAATTATGATTTGCTGTGTAAGCGCAGTGTAAACTGCTTTAAATAGATTCAAAGTTTTTCCAGTATTCCGTCGTAGCACCGTTACACTAGTTCTGCGTATTTCACGCGCGTATAGAACAGTGATAACGTTTCTTTTTTTTCAGTTTCTTTGATTTTTGTCTCAGTATTCTAAAATATAAATATTTCGCAAAATCTAAACAAAATATAAAAAACACTAAGTCTCGCGTGGCAAGTGAACTATGAGACTATTCAGATTGTCAATATTTGTTTGATTTTAGTCGCGTATATCTTGTGTATACAATGTTACATACGTAATATATTATATTATATAATACTATTTATACACACACGATGCTTGCGTACGGCTTCCTTCTATATATCTTCTTACGTATTTATATATATATATGCGCGTCAGAATTCAAAGTCTAAAATGATAATAAATATTGCAAATGTTGCAAAATGGTAAATGACTTTTCTATTCAGATTGACCCAATATACAATAATTTCATATTACGACTGTGTTAAAATTTTTGAGACACATCGATATATATCTAATTTGTTAAATACGTATATGAAATAGCTGTTACTAAAAAAAATGTTACGTGGCATTTATGAGTCTGTTTGTAAAATTGAACGTAGCGAGTAAGTTTTTTTATGTATCTCTATTTTCTAGTTATTTTATTAATTAAACTTTTGTTTTCTTTTTTTAGTTTTAAAAGTAAAAAAACCTAAAACCTTTCTACATTCACTAAAAAGTCTCTCTCTCATAAATCTGATCCTCTATATTATGAAAGATATCTTACCGTTTTCTATCAAGGCATGAACAACTACACATACTATGTGTATGCAGACATTCAAAATGTTTTTATCACAAAGGATCAAGAGAATGTGAATACGAGTAAAAAGATGCACTTTCGCCAATTTCAATAATTGTGTTTTAATTATTATTAGATAAGTTCACTTTGTATAAATCATTGTTTACGTCTTAAACTATAATTCATAAAGTAATTGCTTTGTTGCACACAGTATAACGTAACTTTGCTCTTTGATATCGTCGTCTTGAAACTATATAGAAAAAAAAGTATTTTACATGTAGACAACATTTTTATCTGATTATGCATACTTATACGCAATTATGCAATCGATATAATTATATATGAGACTATATATTCAGTCTCGTACATAAGTGTATGTAAATAGATATCGAAATTGTCTGTATTTGCAGGTCTTTTATTACCAGGAAAAATATGTAAAATATAAAGTATTGCAAATATATTAATGTACTTTGTTAGTAAAACACAAGCGTTTCCCGTAACTTCCTGCTATATTCCTTCTATTCTTATTTTAATTTAATTTATATTTTGTTGATCGGTACAAATTTTACACGAACTGGATGAGCAGGACGAATTACCATATCCATCTTTAACTGAAGATTTCTCAAGTAATCAACGGGCTCCAGATAAAAGTGATGTACTAGAGGTGTAAAAGACGAAGAAAATGAATTAAAAGACGAAGAAGACGAATTAAAAGACGAATTTAGAGAGAAAAAGACGAAAGTGAACCTGGAACGGTGTATCCGCTGAAATATTCGGTATGACCGAGCGACCGTTAATTATTGTTGACGACGAAAACAATGAAGGACGCTTGCTTGCTTACAGTTTTGGAACTGAAGGAAAGATTGAAGACGTTAAAGCAAAACACGACGGGAACAAAGGCAGAATTGATACGTCGTTTGATGAAGGTGGACCCGTCTGTTTCCTGGATGGACGATATGTCGAGCGGTGGAGCAGCGGTCAATGAGAACGCCGTCGACGATGCTTGTAGGCGTGCTAGCGATCGTCGGACGTGCGGGTCAGCATTGACGGACCAGGAGCAGAATGCGGTGCTGCAGCTCCGTACAGCCGATGCTTAGGTACAGCAATAAACGTTATGATCAGAACTTTCTTTCGGCTTTTGAGTAATCGCACAATACATAATTGTGTTTAATTTTTAAGGTTTTAATTCCAATTCTATAAACTTCAATTATTAAATATTATTATTAAATTGTGTATTTTTTTTATTATTAATATGTATTATTAATATGTGGTTTAATTAGAAATGATAATTACTGAGCGCATATCATCATTAGAGATCATGGCAAACGTATCAGTCCAACGGATAAATCTGCCGGTAAACCGCAACAACAGTTTTTACCAAGTGGATATATCCGTCGTTACGCCGCAGCGATACATTTTGCGATAGGTATAGGTCATAGCAACAGTTTTCGCTGGATGAATGTATTCGCTCGTAGTACTCTAAGTGTTAAAAAAGAGTTCGACTTATATGCGTTGACACATATACCCGATCACATTATATTTATTTCTTGTTTACATTGTCGTAAATATCTATATTATATTATTATTTTTTTTAATATTGTATGTTTTTTATAATATTTTATATGTTTGTGCACACTGTGTATATACAGGGTGTCCCAGAATTGGTATAACATCTCTCGTAGACAGGTAGAAGAAGTAAAACTGAGTCGATAAGTCCTATACCATTTTGCTAGATTCGCAATAGTTACCGAGATCTTAATTAACAAAGATCCGCAAATAAGCGTGCATTGGGCTGTTTTACGCGCGTAGGACAGCCCAGCGCGCTTCGCACGATTGCATTTTAATATGTATATGTTATAGTATATGCTGTTATATTAGCTCCTCCCATATGTTGCTAGGGGTAACACCGTAAGCGCGCGATGCATGCTTATTCGCTGATCTTTGTTAATTAAGATCTCGGTAACTATTGCGAATCTAGCAAAATGGTATAGAACTTATCGGCTCAGTTTTACTTCTTCTACCTGTCAACGAAAGATGTTACACTAATTCTAGGACACCCCGTACATATATATATTGATTTATATACAGGGTGTCCCATAATTGCCGTCTCACCGCTCGTAGGCAAGAAAAAGGGGTTATTCTAAGACGAAAAGTCCTATATCACTTTGGAAAATTCGCAATAATTAACGAAATATTAATTAATAAAGATCCGCTAATCAGCGTGCATCCATCGTAAGGACAGCTCAGTCTGTTGCGATGAAATGGAAGAAACTAATAGAATAACATGTGCATACATAGACAGCATATAGACTGCGTTCGGGCAGCGCGCTATCCGCGCTATTGTATTCCATCGGTACGGCGCGACAGACTGGGCTGTCTTTACGCTGCATGCACGCTGATTAGCGAATTTTTATTAATTCATATCTCGTTAATTATTGCGAATCTTCTAAAGTGGTATAGGACTTTTCGTCTTAGAATAACCCCTTCTTCTTGCCTACGAGCGGTGATACGGCAATTATGGGACACTCTGTATATCGTATGCAAATACGATACTTGTGTATTTTATGTACTTATGCAAAATTATGTCGTTAATATAAAGTATGTTATTATAAAGGTCTTGTTCGATCTGGCTAAATTAGATTATCTCTCTCGGAGTTAATCTAATTGACACCTTGATCATTAAATCGAATTGTCGGCCGTAAATACAATGGTCGTGTTTTACTTTAGCACTGCGAAAGATTACGCGTGTTCGCTATATTGATTGTGTTCCTGCTCTGCCATATAAGTGTCCATTCCTGGATCGTTCACGTTAGCGTAACTTTCTTCAGTAGCGTCGCCCACCTGCTGATACATTTCGGTTTCGACTGCATTCGGCACAGAATTGTTTTCCGTAACGTGTATCTGATCGTACGACGAGTCGTACAGGTCGTGTTGCGATTGATCGTTTCTCGTCGGTATGACAGAGTACATTTCCGAGTCTTCGGTCAGTCTGTGATTATTCGCGGTGTCGTATCCCTCGTGAGTCTTCAGCGACGTTTGATCGCTCATCGGCAATCCGTTCTCTTGCGACGGGATCGCCGATTCTAGTGCGGTATTGTAATGAAAAACCGCAGACTCGTCAGTATTTTCCAGATTCCCTCCTGGAAAGTAATATCGTTACTTCACGCTGACATTCGCGATCGTGAAATTGCGCGAGAGATTGAGCAAGTGAATTGTCGATTACCTTCGTGGCTCGCAATAGTGCCTTGTATTTTATTCGACAAGTGTTCTATGTTGGTTTGTAGGTCTGCCATTTCTTTCCTGCGATAAACAGAATAAAACGAATTAGTAAAACAAAGACACCGGATTTTAAAAATACATATACAATATTATCAGCCAAAAGAAATCATTGTCAAATCTAACATGGTGTGATTTCCATCGGTAATTGGGACATTGATGTTGCTATTACTGTGCTGATAGAGACGTTTTTAAAGTATCTGACTTCTTTTTCGGAATTACTTTTACTTTTAGATCGACCTTAACGGTACGTTTCTTGCTCGAAGGCGAAGCGGTTTGCCCAATTGTTGTCACATCTTTCTCAGCAACCTTCTCTGTCAACACAGAATAGCCTCGGATATAATATCATGAGAAGTGTTGTACACATGCGCTTATATCTATACATACATATTATATCTATAAATTTTGACTAAAGTGTGAAGGTAGATTGAGTCAATTCGAGAGCAGAAATGTCATTTACCATTTTGCAGAATTTACAATATTTATTGAGTAGGAATTAATTGAAAAACGAAACCCAATGAGCGCGTGAGAAGCGAAGATTCGGACTCTGTAGACGTGTATGATTTTCAGTTGTAACGAAAAATTATCTCGTGCAATCTTCTAGCAGCCAGAGACGGAGCAAACAAGCGAGCGACACAGCTTGCGATCAACTGATTTTCATAACTGAAAGTCATATACGATCCGGACCATCATTTTCCACGTGCTCTTCGGGTTACATGTAATTAATTAACTACTTAATAAATATAGCAAATTTTGCAAAATGAACGTTTTCGTTCAGATTAACGCAATCTACATACTTCGGCTCGGTCAAAATTTTTCAGACATCTTGTATATTAACAATTATAATGTATCGCGTCAGTATAACAGAATAAATAAAAAAAAAATAAAAAACACTTTTACATTATTTCTCTTCTCTCATTAAGTTTTGGTCTAATCGAAATCAACTAAACAAAGTAAACTATTCCACGATTCAAACTACGTGCACTGTACCTATATTTTTTTTTAATGACTCTACGAATCGAATCAAAAGAATATATACTCGTGTTTAAGATTGTTAGCTTCCAAACGTTGTGTGAGAGATTGGCATTCGGCAGTCAATCTTGAGACGAGCGTGGCCTGATTATTCAGAGCATCTTCTAGGCCTGTCACCGTGGCGGCTGCAGAAATTCGATTGCCTGTGATCAGCCTGTGGTGCGACATTAATCTGACTAAATCTCTCAATCCCTGCCTATGCTAGGCATAGTGTCGGCATGCCGATTTCTCACACACAAATTATCTATACTCTCTAATTATCTCATTTCTCGAGTCAAGTATCAATGTTATAACAACGGTAACACATCCTTCGCGGACAATATACCTAACATAGGCATACCTAAGCCGATATCTTACCATGCTTAGTCTCCATGTCCATTATCATGGAAGTCAGTTCTTTCTCGTTTTCCAATCTAGGCGTGTTCTGGTTACGATTGTTCTCCTCGGTATGTGCGATTTTATTTATATTGATCTGAAAAGATCACACAAAAATATACACACAGAGAGCTTTTTACGCTCGGTTCCCGAAACGAGATAATTATTTTAAATAAACGAGTTGAGTTTGTTCTTTTTATTTTGCTGAAATCTTTTACGTCAGTTTTTCATCTTCGTCGACACGATCTCAAGCTAATATGAAAACGATTATTCACCTCTTTCTCCAAGGATGCAATTTGCTCGGACAGTCGCAGATTTTCTCGTCTGCAATACACCAGATCAGCGTCCGTCCTTTCCAGACGCTGCTTGTAAGAATTGATCTCCGCCTCCGACTTTTTTTGTTCCTGACGAGCCTGTCTTTCGCACTGCTGAGCCGTCAGTTTGCTCGTTAAAACTTCTTGTTCCGCCGCGTCTTTGTCGCTCATTGCTTGATTGAGATCACTTTGTAATTTAGCTGAGCAAAAAAAAAATAAATTACAGATAATATAAAATACAAAAAGTCCTAATTATTTCTCTTTATTAAGAGAAAAGATTTATGTACGTCATAATTTTAAACGATCATTTAAAATATTATGTGAGACTTACAAATTTTGTCTTGTAACTCTTTCTTCAAATTATCGATAACCGTTTGCTTTTGGGACAACTCTCGTCTGAGCTCGTTTATCTCCCGTCGCTGTTTCTCGGACTCCAATTGCGATTTATTGGCCGCTTCCCAGTGAGACATAATGTCGGCAGTGAGTTGCTCGATTTGTTGGTTGTACTGGCGTTCCAGGTGCTGCCTCTCCTCGATTACGCGTCTGTTCATTTCCTGCGTAGCCTCGCGCAACTTCTCGTGCTGCTTTTCCAACTCGTCCTTCAACCTTCGAATCTCCATCTCGCTCTGATTCCTCTCGAATTCAATTTGCTGACGGTTATCCACGGATCGCTTCGCTCTCTGCGACGCCTCCGTCTCTCTGTCCTTCGCGGCCGACAGCAGGTTTCGTAGCTCCTCTAGCTTCATCTCAGCCTCGTACTTGGCGCGCAACGCCTTGTCCAATTCGCTCTTCATCTCGACGCTTTTTTCGCTCGAACTGGTCTCGGACAAACGTTTCAAGATCACCTGATTCTCCTCCTGCGCCTTCCGCAATTCAAGTCTGGCCTGCGTCAACTGCGCCTCCAACTCGCTGATTCTCGACTCGTACATAATGCTGGGTCTCTCCAACGATTTCTCACGCTTGCTCTCCAAATTGTCGATCGTGCAAACGCTCGCGGGCGCGTGCTCGCGATGATCCGTCCTGACGACACTGCAGTAATCTCGGTGATCCTGCAGAGCGCACTTCGACAGCACCGCCTGATTCCTGCTGTGCAGTGCTTCATTCTCTGCCACGACCTTCGAAGAATTAATTAAATCATTTTCTGCATAAATTTTTCTACTCTTTTCTGCATAAATTTTTCTACGTAATAGCGTTACTTCGTGGGAGAGAAGCTGTACCTCGCGAACTTTACTCAACAGATTGATCAGTTTGTCTCTGCAGTATTGAGACTCTCGTTCCAATTGCTCGATGTAGTCCTCCTGCCGTTTGATGAAGGACGTCAGTTCGGGAGGAGCGGACTGGATGTCGGCCTTCGACAACGCCACGCTGCTGTACACCTTGGACGGCTGAATGGTCCTCGGAAATGGCGAGAAGGTGCTGGAAACTGCCTTCTCAGCGAAGCTCCGGTTCCTCCGAAAGTCATCGCTGATTACGCTCTGATCGTCCGTGTCCTCAGCGGACTCGCTAAATCGGGAGTTACTGCTTTTGTATACGCTCCGAATGCTTTGCAGCTTTCTACGTGGAAATCGTTGTTTTTCATATCACACACATAATGTATTTATTTATTTATTTATCATATATATATATATATATATATATACGCGTAAGGTATGTAAAAGTCTACAAATCGAAGTGTAAAACACACGGTATAGAGTAGTTTGAAAAAAGAAGAAAAGTATTTTGAAAACAGATGTGTTTTCTTAATAAATGACGACGGTGTGTACAATTAAATTCCCGTTGGATAGATATATTCCTTCAATATATGCGCACAATATACATGTATAATGTGTATATTACGTTCTGAACATTCCTGTCGGTGCGTAAGATTCGGCCAGCAAGTATTTGAGTTTTGAAATAGCCTCCCTGTACGCTAGCTCTATATAGTCCGCTGGCTTTTTCTTGGTCAGATCCATCTTTGAGGAAGCTCCATTAATTTTTCTGTAAAATAATCAATTATCGCATGGTAAAACTCTATTCGAATACAAAAATATTAATCAAAATAGAATATTCCGACAAAGAGGTCTATATAAAACAGGTACTAAAAATTGTCGTTGAAGTTTTTCGATTGTTTTTTTCTTTAGATAGGCACGTCCACACATTTAACTTCGTAGTTATCATATCTAGTGACGATGTTCCGATGAGAAAAAGAACAGACGTTAATTTCACCTATTCTTCATCCGCTTCATTCGTGCGGTGTCGATTCAACGATGTGGCTGCTCGTGCCGTGCTAACGTTTTCTCGATCTTAGCAGCGATCCTCGCGGCGAGAACTTTCGGCGTCCAGATTGTGCCGGCGATCGAATTGATCGTCAAACAGCTACTTCCGAAGGAACGGCGATCGAGACGGTGTTCGCTGCTCGCATTCTAAGCGCGTTCTATCGTGACCTTCCATCGCGGGCTCTTCATATCGCCGTCAGGAAACAAACCGTTGCTTGGCCGAGCGGCCGCGATCGATAGTCACGATTACTCTCCCAACCACGGGAGAACTCGGCGAAGAAAATCGAACGACGAATTCAACATTGTGACTGGAAGAGCCTGGCGGTGGATCGCGTGAGGTGGTACCATCCCTTCCTTCGCCCCTTTATAGTGGCAGAAAGGATAAAAATTGGTACCGTACTGTTACCCCGTACCACCGACCACATAGTTTCGTGACTCGACTTTAGCTGTGAACGTATTTTGATGGCACATCGAGGCACTTTCGTCGGCGACGAAAAGACGAGAATGATTAAAAATCAGAGGATACTTTTCACTTTTCTGTACAAAAAATTCTTTCAACAGAATTTTGAAACAATCAGATTTTTGCATTTCTGATCTAAATGCTCTTCTTTTAATAAGTTTTTGATTAATTATGTGTTTCTCATTTAATTTATCGAGAAACAGAGCTATAAGAAAACGTTTCCTGATAAAAATATTTAAATGTAATTCCTATAATGACGTAAATAAATTCCGTAAATTTTTCACTTATTTTTTTTTACATCTTTCAACATATCTTTACATAAAAATACGAAGCAATAAAAAGGAATATATTTTGTAAAAGGTATAGTTTTTTCAATAAATGCAAAGATTTTGGTGTCTTCTTTTGTGACAAATTGAAGACATCGTCGTATAATATCTATTGATATGTAATAATAAATACGACTGTTACATTTTGGAGCAAGAGTCTGAGGAAGCCATGGAGGAAGACGTCAGCAATATTTTTTGCTTCGCACGCGTCGTAGCGTTTTTTTTTTTTTTTTTTTTTTTTGTAATAAATTGAAACGTTCCAGGTCTCTTCTTTTGTGGCAAATTGAACATAATTCATACAATATTTATTGACATGTAATAAAATCTGTTACATTGTGGAAGTCACCAGCAACGTTTTTTGCGCGTCTGTCAGCGATGGCTGATTATCTAACAAACGTTCCGAATTGGTTTGCGACAAATTATTGAACATGTACCATCGTAGATAAGACCACATTTTGAACAAGAGCCTAAGAAAACCTCATGCAACGTGTTTTTGCTCCCAAAGCTGTATTTCGGCCTCTTATTTAACATCTTTTTATCATTTCACAACACTGGCTGATTTGGGAGACATTAGTGACATCACCGGTAGTCGGTAGAACTGGACGTGTATGTATGTTTGCCCGTGCGCGTGCAGATGTGTGTCATCACTGTCATCACGAGAGAACGGTGACTAATGAACTCGGGACGGATGTTCGGTTTTTAATCCGCGTTATAACGCGATTAAATGCGGTTTTCGTCGTTCGTCGACGAAATATCAACGAGGGTCCATTATTCCGGCATGGAGTAACTTGACAGCTCGACGTGTCACGTTGGTTATCGTATCGCACGAGGTGTAATCTGAGGTAAAGACGCTCGGCTCCAAAACACCGATAACAATAATATTATTGTAACATTCTCTTCTCTCGTCTACACAAGTCGATACAATTGTTGCAAAAGGATCCACATAATTATTTGTTCAATCGATTGATCCGTCACGATGGAGCACGCGACGAGCGACTCGCACGACGATTACACGGAAATAATCCAAAAGCTTCCCGTTTATCTGAAATTGGGTTACGGTACGGGTCATGTGCTGAATGACATTTGCGCTTCCATGTGGTTCACTTATCTTCTGGTGTTCTTTCATCTGGTGCTCGGTTTCGATCCGACCTTAGCCGGAGTTGTGTTACTCATCGGCCAAGTGGCGGACGCGCTTGTCACTCCGTTTGTCGGTTTCCAATCCGACAGACAAGACGACTTCTGGCTGTGTAGATACGGTAGAAGAAAAGCCTGGCATTTGATAGGTACACATCACTCATGTGATATTTATTTATTAACGTGTTTTTTGCATATACTTGTTAATACACAATTTATTTGTATTTCTGTTAACATGTTGCTTAACATTTGCTTTGCAGGCACTATCTGTGTGTTGTTCGGATTTCCGTTTATATTCTCGCCGTGCATTGGCTGTGAAAATGCGCATCAGTATGCACAGTTGATCTATTACGCCGCTTTTGTAGTGATCTTTCAGTTTGGCTGGGCAGCGGTGCAAATATCGCACCTGGCCTTGGTACCAGAGCTTACGCTTTCTGAACACGAGAGGACAGAGCTTATAGCAATAAGGTGACAACTGTACAAAGATTTTTGTGTCAAAAGACTCAAATGTAGATTTAAGAGATTTTTATGTTCTGTTTCAAACAGATTTACATTCACTGTGTTCTCCAATGTGCTAGTTTACTGTATCATGTGGAGTATACTGCACATAACAAGTGGTCAATATGACACTCAGATCGGGCCTGATGATATCTACAAGTTTCAGAAGGTCGTTCTAATCGGAATGGCGACTGGCCTCGCAGCATCTATGATATTCCACTGTGTCGTCAAGGAAGGAGCTAATGGCAGTGCCAATGGTAGTGCGAAACACAATAATCCAAACGTTCAAACAACTCAACAAGTATATAAATGGATTTCGTGACAATTCTGAAGATTTTAGGTAGCCTCTTGCAAAGAAGTAGCAGATCGGCGTCAACCTTACTGAAAGATGTCAGATTATATCAAGTAGCCTGGATCTACATGTTGACGCGACTGTTCATTAATCTGTGTCAGATTTACATACCTCTGTATTTGCACGAATCGCTGAACATGCCCGCGACTTCTCTCGCTTACATACCGCTGACGATGTACCTGAGCAGCTTTCTGATGTCCCTGATCATCGAGAGACTCAATACGAAATTGGGTCGAAAGATTACGTATTCGATTGGCGCGCTGTTGGGAATCTGTTCCTGCATATGGATACGACTCGGTGATGATAATGAAAACTACATCAAATATCAGATCTACGTTGTAGCGATATTGTTAGGTAAAGTGTGAGATCTTGAAGTCTAAAGTACAGAGAATGTGAAATATAAATTTTACAAAGTTTTATATAAAACAATTTAACTTTTGTGCTGCATCTCCCGCCAGGTTCTGCCAGTGCGATAATGTTGGTGACTAGTCTCGGTGTTACCGCGGATCTCATAGGGAAACACACTGAGAGCGGTGCTTTTGCTTACGGAATTATGAGTTTTACTGACAAGCTCAGTAATGGCCTGATGGTTATGCTCATTCAGTATCTAGTAAAGTTAGTATAATTTACAAATTACAATATAAAATTATTGTTTGAATCAATACACGCACAAAAACGCAAACTCTCTTCAATTATTTTTTGTGTGAAAGAATTGATGATATTTGTATAATAAAAAGCGAACTGTTTTTGATGTCGCTTATCTTGCAGACACTTGTCACAAGGATACGCTAATGAGTATTACAGAAACATTCTTGCATACGTTTGTGGCTCATCGGCGACACTTGCTCTGCTAATGATCTTGTACATTAAACCGTTTTCTCATGATATAAGTATGTTGAAAATGTGTTCTTTTTATCGGAATAACTTCTACATATAATCGATGACATTAGCTCGTTTTGCTGTATGTAATAATTTTGTGAAAAATTATTTCAGTTTTTGACACGTTGCACAATCGGGAGGAGAGTTTTATAGAATCTTCAAACGAGAACTACACTAATTCCTTTAGTCAACAACAAGATAACGCTAATGTACAGTGACCATTTTCTAATTATACATATTTTAAATTTACATACTAATTTCCTTCAATCGCAAGATGTACATTAATATGTATTTTGTAAATATGTATACTAGCACACAAGAGATGTGTAAAAAAAACTGCAAAGATACTGATATTTATATTGTTGTTAACAAAAAAATAAATGCAACTTATACATTATAATGTTATACATTATTATGAACGATTTCTATATGTATTTGAAATTTACAATTGTGGAATTGTTATATATTTGGATTTATGTTTATTAAAAAGACTGTTAATGATTACTTTATTAAATTATAACTATATAACAATGAATATATAAATTTTTAATCATTGAAATATATATATCTATGTATATACATATTTCTACTTGTTATATATGATGTAAATAAAACAAAAATAAATTATTTTACAGTAAACTTATTTAATCCTAAAAGCTAATGTAAAGTTTGATGTATAAATTTTCTTTTTCTTCCTCTTGTTCTTGTTGAATCTGATAATATTGTTAATATTTCAAATATATAAAATATTTCAATACATACAGGTAAAAAATAACCCATAAACTGATAGACAAATGTAACGCAATATATATCTATTTTGCACTTATTTAAATATTTGGAAGTTGATTTTGTTACAGAAAGATATTACACTTGCACCAACTTAATGAAAACAGCAAGAGCCACTATACAGAAATACATAATACAATGTGTGATCGCACTTTAAAACCTTCTTTGATAATTTTCTAACTTTTTTACAGAGTTACACAAATAGAATAGCTCTTAATATCTTTAAATACCAATGAATATTGTTTCACACACTGAGTGACGACCTAGAATTAAGATAGAACTGATGTCCGGAGAAGAGAAAGGTAAGAACGTAAATGCAGGCGGCGATCCAACAGTTGTAAGCGTTCTGCGTGTAGCCGCGCTCCACTAAATCGTAGAAAGTGTTTATGTTTGTGATGTTCTTTCCTTCCAGCGGAAGGTCTTCCACCAGTGCTACACTCCGTACGTAGAAGAACACTCCCATGAGGAGCTAAAGATAAAAGAAAGATTGATGTTTGAATTTTTTCTCTAGTTACAGTTCATAAATATAAAATTATCTGTAGATGTAGAGCAAAGTGTAAGAAAACGAATAAATAATTAAAAGATAATAAACTGGTATTCCGTAATTATTCTCACCAGTTGGAATATGCCCCAAACAGATAACACTAAACCGCACAAGGCGTACTTGGGTCCGCAGATCTTCATCTTCAACGATGGATTCGTTCGTCAAACTGCAATCGGATTCACTTCAATTGCATTCGCTGCTCACGCGAACGCTTGAAAATTAATTAAATCTCGTTGCGATCGCCGTTCTTTTCGCGCACAACGATAAGGTTTGTAATCATGTGACGGTCCAGTGATATCGACTAATATCGACAGGGCGTTTTACAAGAGAGATTGCAGGGAATTCAAATTGTCAGCATTGTTGTCGGTTTTCCGCGCATGCGCGCTTGAGAAAATCACTAGAACTTCAGAAGATGTAGAAAATTAATTCAAAAACTAATTAAAAATAGAGAATTGCAACAATCGTGATTTCGATAACAATATTTTTGAGTTAGAAGCAAATGTATTTTATTCTAAAGTTATTTCATTCTTTGTTTTCCTTCGTATTATTTTAACATTTTTTCATCGCTTATCAATCTTTTGTGTTTACACACATTCCGCACATTTAAAATTATTCATAATACAGCGTATACAGTGTATACAGTTTCATCTGGGCAGTTACACAAAAAGCACATATATATACAATGCAATAGTATATAAGTTACAATGTATTTTGCAATAATAGAAATCGCTATACACTAAAAATTTATTGGACTTTGCATACTGAAAATGCATTCTTTCATTGTTGCATTACATCAATTTTCTTACACGTATATATATATATATATATATATATATCTGGTATTCATCGATGTAAGAAGGCACAATGTGGTGTATATTTCTTAAAATATATTGATAAAAACAATCATATCTACGTCAAATTCTCGCTAATCAGCCCGATCGTAATAATCACAAAACGAGTTACAAAGTTCTAGATTGACTCTTAACGGATATAAATTTTTGGCTTATCCTTAGAAAAAATGCTATCTTTTTATTTTTTCGCGCGAGTTGTCTTATATTATTTATAACATAGCTTACGTTAATAGTCGAGTTTCTTTCATTAGCGAACATTGTAGTTTATAATTTTTAACAAAGTATAGATAATCTAATGAGATATATATGCAAAGTTTAGTATCAATTTACATGTTACGGTTACGTTTTGTTGAAGAATGAAAGTACGCACGTGCTTGTGTATGTTTGTGTGGGGAGTGTATACTCATTATGTATCATAGAGGGGGGGGGGATATGTGTGTACTCTCTCATATAATTCTTTCATTCTTCAGAATAATTTTGTAAATTTTCTCTCTATCGGCAAATATACATATATATATATATATATATATATATATATATATATTTTATATATTTATAATAATACAATATTAAAAATATTTCTTCATAAAATTTTCGTCTTATTTATATTGTTCGTCGTGATGTACAGTTATTTTCATCGGCCCAGTGTGGAATAGAATTTAGGCTGTAAAGAGAAAGTACAAGTCTACATTACGCATATTGAGTAGATTTTATAGCGCAAACGCGAATAAACACGTTGACGTTTTGTAATTGAACTCATTACTAAACAGATGAACATAACAGATCTAATTTTTTCAGACAAATTACTTTTATAAGATCTTAGACAAATATTACTTTTACAAGATTAAAATTCGGTTGCTCACCTCATCGTGATTTTCCTCCTTGTTTCCCTCGTCGTCGTCGCCAGAACTATCTCCGCCCGAACTGTCGGCGGAATTGCGTTGCGGGTCCTTGTTATTTAAGCTATTCACAGCAGTCCCGGGTAGAGCTTTGACTTTACTGGCAGCATCGTAGCACTGCAGACAGACTCTGACGGCCTTTCCGTTTCCCTGTCCCGGCAGTAATAATTTTTTGTTGCTGCAGGGACCGCAGACCACAGCTCCACATTGTCTGCAATGATGCTGAAAGAGAAAAAAACAAAATAATCATACAATCTTAATTATATTTGAATCTTAACTGAATCGATATAATGTATATAATTAATATAATATATTGAAATTACCCGTCTGTTTAATACTGTGAATTGTGTTTTGTTACAATGCATGCAAATTGTAGCTTCGTTATCTGGTACCCAAACAGCTGCATGAACTTCGACCGGCTTCTTGCCGCCTAAAACACAGAAAATAACACCTCGATAAAGTAAGAGGGAAAGAGAGAAAAAGAGAGGGGAAGAAGAAATGAGGAAGAAAGAGAGACAGAGGATTTGGTTGCGTATATATTTATAATAAAAAATTTTCTACTTACTTTTTCGTAACAAGTCTTCGATGCATTTCGTGATATGTGCCATCCATTCTTGTTTCTCTGTTGCGGTAGCAGCATAAACAGCAAACGACTTTGTTACTGTCTTAATGAGCCATCCATTACGATATTCTATAAATAATGATCCAATACTATACCAACATTTTTTTTAGATGTGATCTTATTCGATTAGAATGCACCACACATGTTGCAGTACATATACATACGTAAAGAAGTCTACTTACAGTAAAATAGTAAATGTATAAGGAGTTCTAACTATTTGCTTACAATAAAGTTGTGTTTTAAGCCAGAAAATGTAAGATATTAATTTTTCTAGTATAAAAAAGATGATCACTTGTGGCGGAGCAGGTTGCATATCGCGTGTACAACATATAGCAACATATATATTATGTATTTTTACCATCCACCCACTCCTCACACACTTACATACGCACATGAGAAAAAGAGACTGATAGAGAAGAGAAAAAAGGGAAAGGAGAAAGGGAATATTAGTAAAACCATTATTCTAAGAAAGTTAATAAAACATTTATGTACAATAATTTGAAGACATTTTCAGGACATTCCACGTACATAACATAGAGTTGTAATAAAATAAAAAGATCTTATTTCATTAATTCACTTGTGATAATATTCAACACGGAGTTTGCAGTATAGTAATTATGATATAATATACTTACGTCCCTCGTCAGCTAGAGACTCTAATTTTACCTCCTCCAATGGTATTATGTGTTGTTTGTTGTACTATAATGGAATTATTAAAGTTTATTAATTATATACCACAGTGTGGTGTGTCTCTATATATAAACCAACATTTTTCTGTACACATACCTTTTTCTTGTTAATCACGATGTTGCCATAAACCAATATGTCGTTGAAAAGAAAGAATTGTCTGGGTTTGGGTTTCTTTCTACACATTTTTGTCAGGACTCCTTCTCCGACCAGCACTCTGCCAGGGACTGCAAGTGGCTAGTTAAGAAAAGAAATGTTCACAAGTGAGCTGTTGTTATCTCAGTATGTAGGATTATCAGTACCTATCAGCGTACCATCGTCACTAGCCATATAAACTTTAACTTGTTACGATGACAGTTTTACATGCTACGGGGGGAAACTGTCTTCACATAAACTTGCACGTGAATCTTCCTTACCTGACCTGAACTGCCGAAGCAGTTTTCAACCATCGCAATACGCCTGGCATTGGCCTCGCTGTTTACTAAAACAGATCAAGCCAGGGGAGAGATTAAATCCACAGAAGAATTTGTGAGTCATTTTCGAGTAAACTTGTTGTAGTTAAAGTATAACGAAATGTCTGTTCTATTAAGGAGTCGAGTTTACTCTCGTCAGCTACATAATTGTCGTATTTCCCTTTCTTAATTCTATTCGAACAACGCGCCCGAAAACGGTCATGTTTGTCTCAAACGCGAGAAGAAACGCGACAAAAGAAACACAGCTAAGAGCCGAGTTATCTCTTTGGCATCTCGAAGCTGTCAAAAACACAGGCTCGGCTTAGGTGCGTTAACCGCGCGTGAATGAGCGCGATGTGGGAAAGGAAGGAACATCGCGTCCCCAATTGAAAGAAATAAGAAAAGAAGAACGCGAACGTTATCTCGCATCACTCTCGCGGTTTCGATTTCACCTTTTTGTAAACTCCCGTTTTATTAATTAAATGCTAACAAGCAGAGCACGAACTAACCCAATCGGTCGACCATGATCCTATGAATCAGGGCTGACAACAGCAGGAAGTATGAATCACGTTCGTCAGTTCGCTCGTTCGAGAAAGTGAGAGAAAGCGAGACGGAGAATCAACGATGCCGATTGGTTAATGAAGCTCCTCGCCCACAAATGTTTGACACGAAACAACGCGGAAGCCAATCAACAAGTTGCCCTCACGAAAAAATGTTAAAGTGATTGGCTGTCGCGTTACGTTTTGAATCGTTCCGTGTGCAAGAGCCAGTAAGAAAGCGTCTTTCTATTGGAAGTTTTGATTATATTGAAATGCGCAGTTAATTTTATTTTGAAGGCAGAGATTGGACGCATAGCGATTAGCGGCTTCAAAACAGCTGAAAACGGCGTGAGACAGCGTGAAGCAAATTTTTGGGCTTAACGGGTTTTAATATTGCAAAAAAAAAATGTAAGTTTTTACTTTTATTATTATCCTACAACTTTACTCAACATTTGAGTCAAATTGCCAATATCAATTTATTTTGCTACATACGCAATATGATGTGCGCACATAACCTTGATTTTCAGACAAATTTAGTTTTTATTTGATATAGCGCTATTGATATAAAAAATTTTTATAAAAAGATATAATCGAAACAAAATTTTGAGATACATTTTGATCGTGCTATTTTATACAATCGTATTACCGTGTACCAGGTCTTCTCTAACAAAACCCAAGTCTGAGATGACTCCGGAGGAATTAGCAAAGAGGGAAGAAGAAGAATTTAACACCGGACCACTCTGTGTTCTGACACAATCGGTTAAAAATAATACACAAGTATTGATAAACTGTCGGAACAACAAGAAACTTCTTGGACGAGTAAAAGCATTTGACAGGCATTGCAATATGGTTCTGGAGAATGTTAAAGAAATGTGGACTGAACAACCACGCACAGGAAAGGGCAAGAAAAAGGTAACTAATGTACATAGTTCGCATATTATCAGTTGAATTGATAGAATATTTCATCCTGAGAATTCCAAATGATTCAAATCATTGCGATAGTTTAACATAGAGTTAATATTTTATTTTATTGTCAATATTATATGCATTTTGCTATTTATTTACAGGCAAAACCAGTAAACAAAGATAGATATATTCCAAAAATGTTTCTACGTGGAGATTCTGTTATCTTGGTGCTCAGGAATCCACTGGCATCTGCCGCAGGAAAGTAATAAATTAAGAGAAAAATGTTTCATAAAATCTATCTACAAAAAAAAAAGAATAAAATTTTCATGTATAAGACTGCACAATATCATTGACGTTTGAACACAACTTTGTACGCAATTGATTTCTTATCCATATGCATAATTTATTGAATATTGAATGTAGCGAAAATTGTGTTGGACACATAGTATTTATTTTTAAATGTATAAAAAATTATCAATCCTTTTCAGCAATCGCAGTTAGGTGCTTATCGATCTCTTGTTCGCTTAAGACCCTGTAAACAAAAAAAATTTATCAATAAAATTGTAACGTGATAAGAGCTGGCACTTGCAAATACCAAGACTGTCGGAAATCGCTTACCGGAATTTGCGATTATCCTTCGATACAACTCCCACTTCGATTTCTGTCGGTTTAAAATCCACAGATAAAACGTTCGACAAGCAAGTGATAGCTAGTTGTATAGTCTCATCGTAATCGTAATTTTGTTTCTTCTTGAGTTTTTTCTCGAGATAAGAATTAGCTTCTGTTTGCTTGGCTCCTACAGAAATAGCTCTATAACCACAGAAGTAACCTGCTGGATCAGTTTTGTAAATGCAGGGACCTTTCTCTTTGTCGTACGCGATGAGCATCATGGAGCAACCGAGCGGTCGCATCTCCGCGTTCTGCGTATACACTTGACTGATGTCGGCGACACGCTGACAGAGTACATCCACAGGTATCTCGTAGCCGTACTTGTATTTGAAGTGGGCTGCCTCGTATCGAGCACGTTCCACCTGGGACTTGCTGTCAGCTGCACAGAATCAGCAAATCAGAAAGATGACAAGACAGATGACTTGACAGTAGTTGTTAAATGTTTGTCCAAAGCTCACCTATCATGCCTGTCATGACACAACCAATATATTCTGTCAGCTGGAACACATGGGTAACACTGGAGGCATCGAGTAACTTGTCCTATGAGAAAAACAAAGAAAACATTAGAGACACACATTGCTGACAAATTGACAAAGTATATAGTGTGCTGGATATATTGCAAAAATAAATTTTTTAAGAGATCTTTACAGGCACTTTCTTCTGTGTTGCGAAAACGGCAGTATCAACTCCTTTTACGGCTACAGAGGTCAGACCGCCCTGATTGATGGCTTTGAAGGCATATTCTATGAGAATTTTGTAAATACACATTTTAATTAGCACATCCAAAAAAGTACAAATCGCACGCAGTGTTATCTGCATGACAAACAATCGTGTTGTACACAGACTAGACTTCCTAGACTTTGTGCCATCAATACGTACGATTCGGATAAATAAATTTTCAGCAATTCTTACCTACTTGGTAAAGCCGACCTTCCGGCGAAAAGATCGTGATATGTCTGTCAAAACCTGCACTGCTACCGCGAGCCATATTCACTAAGTAAAGAAATCGACGATTTATACAGCCTTTTACTGAGCTCAACCCGCTCTGCAAAAGCGTCAACTCATATGGAGCAGAATCATATGAATTCGAGAACGACCATCTTGACGTTTGTCTCTCGGCTACGATGTTAGAGACCTCTGTGATATATTTCGGTTCTACACTGAGTTCAATGAGAGAGGAGAATCGGAGCGGATAAAAGCCTCCTCCCAGTTCACAGCCATTGGCCGCCAGCGAGTGTTTCGCGCTATCTCCACTTTGTCCGCTTTTCTTCCCCTATGCGCCGACTCTCTTCTCTCATCGAACTCAGTGTATAAAATTAGCTTATCACGCGAACCAATCATTTTGCCACTTTTCTACGAGAGCAAAAAAATTAAAATGATTTAACGATTGGAGGCAAAAAAATCCGCAACGCACACGAAGCGGAAAAACACAGTGTCAAGAGATAATACACGATGATCAAATTTATATATTATCAATCGGGAAATATCAAAAGTGGCGTGTAACAAATAACCATGCGCACAAAAAACCATACAAAATGCATGTTGTGGAATTCATTATTCAATTACTTAATAATATTTTATTTATAAGTGGTTGTACAAGTGTAACATACATTCTTCAATAAATACATCCTAACAAAAAGAATAGATTTCTATAGCGTCTGATTCTTTTAGCCAAATAAAAGAAACTATCTGTAATAGATCAAAGAGAAGCTCGTTATATTCGATTTACATCACAAACAAAATTCAACAGAAATATATACACATACAATAATGCCACGATCTAATCAAATTTCGGAATTATTTGTACATGTATCTTCAAAAATTATATACATACAGATACACACGCATAAAAACGTTATTTTGCATTTGCTTTTAAATGTCACACAATGTTATATATCAAATTACAGATCGAAACACCAATTTGCTGAAATAATAAAGATAATTTATGTAACATAAAAATCGATTATAAGACGTTATTATCTCCCGCTGCACGATTCAAGTTTTTTTTGTGTCTCTCAAGTAGAAACATTCAATGATACTATGTAAAAGACCTTGCGCCTTGTATTATTATAGTACATTTTTTTAATCTAGCTGTCAAAAACGTGTTTTCTCAATTCTTATATGTATATATTTCTCTAGACAACGTAACTTTGACTCTTTCGTATATGTACAAAAAGAATACAAGAAAGAGAGAGAGAGAGAAAAAAAAAACTATTACTAAATCTCTCAAACGTACGATAAAAACACGAAATTTATATTAACGAGTGTGTCTAAATCATTTTGGATGTCACATAATTATCGCTCACTGAAAGCAGGATGGCAATCAAATTTGTAAATTAATTATAAAATAAGTATTTAGTACTAATTCTCCGACGTTATTATGCTGCCTCAAACTCAACACTTTATCTAATTCAAGGGTTTCAAGTACGCTGCGTCAAACGTCTCGAGCTCGTTTATCAAGAAGTTCGCCTCGTTTCGAAGGTGCTTCGCCTTAGCCGCCGCTTTTTCCAATTTTTCCAAGGTGGTCGCTATACCTCGAAGATCAGTGTTCATCTCGGATATCGATTCGTCCACCAAATTGCAGAGTCGTGCAAATGTGCTTGAGAGCTCTCTGTTGCATGAGAAATATAACATGATTGTAACAATAAAAAAAAAAAAAGAAACTAGTGCAGGTATTTATTATATAAAAACTTATGTTGCGTTCTTACTGTTGAACTTGGTGACTGCAGTTTGACGAAGTGAGATCTACAATCATTTGAAGCTTCTGCGTAGCATGTGTAACATATTGTCGTTTGAATTCACGCTCCTTCGCTTTGTTGGTCCATGTCAAACGTTCATAGAGATACAAAGCGCCATATATAGCACCAGTTATTGCAATCAATCTCCAACCTATTGTTTTTAACATCTATATACACGAAAATGGATTTATTTCAAGATTAGTTTTCTTGTAATAGAGAAATTCAACACGGTGAAAAAAACAACGCGATACGTACAAAACCAGCTATAAGAAGGCCACCCATGGTGCCCTGAGACGTTATGGACGCAACTGCTATACGACTAGCTAGAGACCAGTCGTCGGACCTCGCCTGAAAGTTGCTCGGTGTGGCCGACACGTATTTTAACGAATCTATACTATCCGCAGGTGACGAAATACAGGGCGGTATCTGTGAAAAAAAAAAAGGTAAACAAACATATAAATTATACGTATTAAATTTACATATAAATGTTTATATTATGTTTATTTTTATCTGTTAAACAATTTCACAGTCTCACCTCCTGCGGACAATTGGCTACAGCTATTCTGTGACCCTGTTTCCCCGCAAACCTTGTGATTAGAGCCGTGAAACCCCATGAAAAACGAAACTCCAGGTCCTCGTGAAAATCGGCGCACAAATTGTCGCAGTTCAATCGATACAGTATCTCGAACCGTTCACGCCGTGGCAGAATGTTGAGCGACAAGTGTTTCTTATTTTCGGGCAATAAACTTGCCATCCTTTCGGTCATTTCTTTCTGCGAGCTTTCCATGTTTGTCGCTAAAGCGTCGCTGAGTCTAGCTCGTAAATTTGATCCTAAGAAAAATATAACAGAAATGTCAGAATTGTTATTAAACTAAATAAAATTATATTGTTATTAAACTATATTGTACTAAAAATATAATATAAAAAAACTATAAATATAATATAAAAATATTATTAAGATTGTTAAGTAACATTTTCACGTGTCGTATCAAAAAAATGTATTTTTATTTAAAACATTCATCTCACCTAAACCATTTTCCACGTGCGTGTGAAGTTCTCGCTTATACACATTTAACACGAGCGGCTCGGGGTGAAACGGAACGCTAAATTCGTCCACCAAAACAGCCAATCGACGAATCTCTTCGCTTAAAGCTTTACGAACTCTTTGGTCTACGTCTTCTACTATGTGGTGAATGTTTTCTTTCATTTCGTGAGTAAGCTGTATCAATTGTTGTTCGGTGAAATTCAGTTTATTGTGCACTTCTTTCTTGATATTTAACTGTTCACTTCGCATTTTCTGCGTTCGATCCAATATTTCGTCTAACGTGTCACGTATTTCGCTGCAATAAGACGGTAGTTTTACAAATACAAAAAAAAAAAAAATAAATAAATAAATAAATAAATAAATAAATAATAATAATAATAATAATAATAAAAATAAAAGACAAAATCGCACAACTGCAAAAATACGTAATACATTTCCTTACGTTGCGATATGTTTACCACGTTGAGAATGCTGCTCGAATTTGGTCTTTACCGCGGACTTCGAAATACATTCTTCGAATTTTCGTTCGAAATTTTGAAACTCAAAATATCGATTGTGAAATCCATCGGCCAGCGCTCCGTCTACGTGTTTATAACAAATTAAACATTAAATATGTACTAATAAAACAACTTCAAAATTTAAGAAAATGTAATAGCGATTTGAGAAATATTACTATGAGCAGGTTGACCACGTTGTTCTTGCAAACGAGCTTGAAGAGTTTCCTTCGCTGAAATAAAGAAAACATAGTCTTCGGCATCCTTCGGATTGTACACTTTTAACTCTCTCGATAAGAAATCAACAGCGCGTTCTTGATGTTGTGCTCGAACCTACACACACCCCAACAGACAAATTGTGAAAATTGTACAAAAAAATATTGCACAAAAATAGAATTGCACTAAGATGATTCGACATAACGCAACAGTTTTGTCAAAATAAAATTTTGTAAATAATATTTGTCAAAAATTAGAAAAGAGTCGTTATGCATTTCTCTAAGTATATAAATGAATTAATTTGATTTCTTCATATGCAATTATATTTCTCTACATGTTTTAAACATCACATAGCTGAAATTTTTTTCTCAATTATTGAACAATTTCTTTTTAAATTTAATTTTGCAAACATACTGCTAAGATGATTCGCCATATCGTTATTGTTTTGCCGAAATAGTATTTGGAAATTAATTTTGCAAACAGTTACAAATATTTTATAAAAGATCAATATTTTTACATCTATTTCTTAAAATATATCTCCATAATTGCAAATCACAATTTTTATGCAAGATTTTGTCACGTAATTTCATAAATGTTTTCCTATCGGAGCAAGAAATATATAAATAAATTATACTTATTTATTACACAACTTACAATGTGTTTAATCACAATGATAGCGCATAGACTTTTATTAAAAAGTTGCTATCAAAAAAAAAAAAAACAAAAAAAAAACAAAAAAAAACAAAAAAAACAAATAGATGTAAACAAAAAAATAATAGTTTGTGCATTAAACATTTTACATAAACAGTTTTTAAATGTAATATGTAAAATTTGATACTTTTTGTCCTTCTTCTCTCTCTCTCACGCGCGCGCGCACGCACGCACGCACGCACGCACACACACGCACACACACACCCACACAAAACTTTGTCTCAAATTGTGACAACTATTGAGTAAACAACTCAATTGCTAAGTGCGAAATTCCCAAGTTTTTCTTATAAGAATAATTCATGCTTTGTAGACTTTTTTGTGCATAGCATTTATAAAGTGCGATAATTAAAAAAAACATACATAGAAATGAACATATTATTATTATTATTATTATTATTTTACTTTCTCGTTGTAACAAAAATTGAATTTCCAAACTTAATAGACATAAGTGATTTACGATAAAAATAAACTATGTGTGACATGTGCGTGTTTGTGAGATCATATTACATATGCAGCGTACAACATAAGTTGTAGAATCATACAAAATATGTAAACTTACCTCTTTTTGTTCTTGGACCAGCTAATAAATAAAAATATTACTAAAGTTCATTTAGATTATGTGTACGATAATATAAAGTTTTAAAAGTTACAGTAAAAACATTTTTAATTACAAAAGAAATTGCGAAAAAATAAAAGAAAAATTATAGACTAAAATTCAATTTTCAAAAATACGATGTATATGTTATTGGTACAATTTCTAATTCTTTTTTCTAAACGTAATACTTGAAAAATATATACCTGATCAAAAAATTCCGGCTCAGAGACAGAGGCATCCCATCGATTATTTAAAATGAATATATTCGGTTTCGATAATTTTGTTGATACTTTGTGAAAGAAATTCTTTTCCTACAAAAGAAAGAAAGCAGAAAATGAGTTTTGTCTTTAAACTTTAATATTAAGCATTGCTTGTTACAAATTAAATATACTTACTGTAACCATCAAAGTCGATTCTGCATTAGCTACTAAAACAAAAACGTCAGCATCCAAACAATGTTTATCAATCCATTCGTCGAGATTCGGACTTACATCTACTCCTGGACTATCTACAAACACTACATCGTCTCGCAGCAACAAACATTTCTCCTTCGGCCAAAATATTTTTACTAATTGACTCTCGCATAATTTTTCTTTGCAAAGAGCGTGACCTAACTGCCCAACAGATTGAACTGGTTGTTTCTCATTGGATCCTTCCGTTATGAGATACGACTCCCCATTATCGGAGCCTTCCACTTGCAAAAAACAATTTGTTGTGTGTCCTATTCCACTCGGCAAAATTTTATCGTGCAACATAGCGTTAATTACGGTACTTTTTCCGTTACTTGTTCTGTAATATACATACAAATATTATATACATTTATAATACAAGCAATTAAATATACTAAATATGTGTATGTTATACAGATGTTACTCAATGTAATTACTCACCTGCCGAAGAAAGCGACTTTCATGTGATCTCTTCGAAGAACATCTTTTATTGCACGCACTTTATCAATGTAACTTTTGACTTTTTCTGCCTCTTCTAGTGTTACAATATTGCTATCAGCTTGCAATACTACAAGTTTACAAATTAAATTGAAATTGTAGATATAAACGATGTCAAAAACATGAAAAACACTTAAATACAGTGTATATCTCATAATAATACTCTAATATAAAAATACTACAGGTAATAAAAATCTCTTTTTATAATTTTGTATACTCACATGTCATAAATTCTACAGTTTCTTCTACATATTTTCTTATGTCCACAAATATATCGTTTATTCTTTTCTTAGCTTTAACGAAAATCTGTAGAGGAGAATTATCATTTCTAATATCTGATGATCGAAGTTGGCTGTCCCCTCCAATCTTGGTCGGTTGTACCATTGTGCGATTGATATAGGCAGCCATTTTAGATCTCTAGTGTAAATTTAATGTATTTGGCAAAAATAATAAAAATATGGTGCAATGTGAATAGGACGTTGATACACAGTGCACAGCATGCATCAACTGAAATCATAAAAAGCAGGAGTTAAAATTAGCTTAGCACATACATATTTGGTACATATATATATACGTATATAAAACTAAGAGGTGTAACAATGCTGATCATTGTTGAAAAGAAACTACAAGATCTCAGTCAATTTTGCATTTAGAAGCAAACAATCTTTTTTTTTTGCATTTATGCAAAACTGACTGATGAAAGAAAAAAAGAAAAATCAATAGGACAAAGAAGATAAAAAGCAACATAATATATATATATAATGAAAACATACAAAAAAACAGAAGTAAAAGACAAATGTATATGTACATATTACAAGCACTAAAAGTTTACAAAAATATACATAGACCAGCACTAGTCTATGAAAAGAAGGAATTCTTTTCCCTTTTCTGATTGCATCATTCTTTTCCAATCAATCTGTCCAGAGGAGAATTCAGTGCTGATCTGTGTACAGCTTTTTGTATCTATTTTTTGTTCCATAAAATAATTTAAAAAACGCAACATACAGGGCATCACTGACATTATTTGCTCTATATAAAATTGAGTTGCAATAAGACAAAATTCTAAGAATAAATTTGTTAATTATCAAATATTATTTAAGTATATAATGATCTAATTTGTGAAATCTTGTAAAGAATTTTTATAATACATATTTCTAAAAAAGAAATAAATATGTCTCAACTTTTTTGTATACAACGTTAAAATAAAGAAAAAGAATTCAATTTTTCCTTAACAAATTGTTTTAATTAAAATAATAATTTTTAAACACCCTGTATATTTTTTTATAACAAACAGATATATGTAACAAGCATAACATTAATATCAACAACAATGATGCAACCTTTTTATCTTTAGTCATTGGTGTATCCGTAGACTAATTTGTGATATAATTATTTGAATGTTTTTTCTGTGTGTCCAAAACAGCTAAAAACAATTTATAACATCGCTGTTAAATATTGTTACACATACAAATATGTGTACACGTACATATATGTATATATATATGTATATATAATTTATTTGTATTGTTATAGAAAGTAATGCAAAAAAAAAACGTTTTAATCTTTTTTAACATACCTTTGATCTTTTGTCGAAATTTTCGGCTCACTTCTTTACACGAAAGAACAAGTATACACTTTTGTTAATGTATTTCACATTAGGTCATGTTTAAGTCCTATTTTTAACAAAGTTGCAATCGTGGAGCAACAAAGTAAAATAAGATTTTCAGCAAATAAAGCTGCTAAAAAAAATTTGTACATTGTTACTCTGAAAACTAACCTCTATTGGTATTAAAAATATATATAATACATATAAATATAACAAAAATTGCAAATATATGTATGTTATGCGTATATATAGCTATTCTATTAAAAAATAACAAATGTAAATCAACAATAAAGAATATTTGACATACCCTATAAATAGTTGTGCGTTGAAAGATGAATAATAATATTCATGTCTGTTTAATAAATGTTCGTTGCAAGATTAACAAGTGTATACAAATAATATGTGTGCAATAAGAAACTTATCCGAATATTTAACAAAATCCGACAACGCTGAACACACACGTGGTTTTATTCTCCGACAAATTTCTTCTGCTAGCTTTTGCAATGTCCGTTCGGATCGCAAATCGTTCACAAGAGAGAAGGGAGTCCAATACAGTGGTGCGCAACTTTCCTCGTTTTTATAAAACGACTTCGACGTAAAGCCTATGTCACACTACGGATTGGGATTGAGATTAGATTGAAATTTGACCAATTAGAAAAAAGAAAACCAATCCTAAGTTTAGTGATCTTCTCTCTGATTGGCCAAATTGCAATCCAATCTCAATCCTAATCCGTAGTGTGACATAGACTTAACGTGTATGCGCGATCCGAACAGTCCTTTTCAAAACCAGAGAGAAACCTGAGAGCGGCCATTCTATTGTAATTTTTTACGACGGTTTCAACCGCTGGTTTTAGCCGTATTTCCACAAAAGTGGAACTCAAAGGCCGTTCTCCATGAAACTCAAGTAGCAGGTCTCGTGGAACTGATCAATCACGTTGGTCGATTGGCTGATTTGACTCTGCAATTAATCAATTCCACGAGATCAGATACTTGCGTTTAATGTAGAACGACCTTTGAGTTCCACTTTTGTGGAAATACGGCTAAAACCAGCGGTTGAAACCGTCGTAAAAAATTACAATAGGATGGCCGCTCTCAGGTTTCTCTCTGTTCAAAACTATAGAATATATACTGCGTTCAATTTGAGAAGAGAATTTTACTGCGCACGGAAGGACAGGGAAAAGTAGAAAAGCGGGCAAAGTACACTCGATTCAGGCCTTGTTTATGCAGGCAATAACCTTTAACTTATGCCGGAACCGGTAGAGTTTAACTATAGAATTCCAATACTTTTGTTTATACGCATTCGGCAATTTTGTATAAACAGAAGCATTGAAATCCTATAGTTAAACTCTACCGGTTCCGGCATAAATTAACAGTTATTGCCCGTATAAACCAGGCCTTAGTAAATTCGCTCACTTTTGTCATTGGGTGCGTTCAGACAACTCAACGGTTGAGAGATCATCACTTATGATAGGAGTATTCTTCAAAATCTGAGCGGATCCAAAAGTATGATCCAATCAGAAGTAATTATCTCTCAACCGTTGTGCAACTGTTGAGTTGTCTGAACGCGCCCATTTTCTCATTACATTGCATAATACACATCGATCTTCTGGGCTACATTCCAAAATCTTACTTTGGTAATCACATCTAATGAGCAACAAAGACAGAATGATGCAACAGCGCTGATAATGCGCTCCCCGAACGCAGCCTAAGTGTCAAGTTTGTTAGCTTTCAAGTCGTTTTTATAGTGAAATATATATTTGCGTCTTTTTTTTGTAAAAAGTATAAATATTATGTAGATAGGTAAGTCATAAAAATTAATGATTGATATTTATTAAATAATAATATAGTTAATTTTAATAATTTTATTATTTATTAATTATTTGCGAATATTAATTAATATTATAATATTAAAAATGGTCTTTTATAGTCTGATCTTATAATTATTAATAATATTGTATTTGAATTTTGCGCTACATTTGAGGCAACAACTTGATTGGCTGCTCAGCTATTATACTACTTGACAGAACTCTGCAATTCCCCGGGTATAATACGTAGTTCGTTATAGGTTAGGTTAGGTTAGGTTTGTGTTTTATTATCGCGGAAGATCTCAAAATGTACAAAGCGATATGCAGGACATTAATACGAGAAGGCGTCGGTACGTTGGAATCCTCGAAATGCGTCTCGACAACGCAACGTCTCGTGACGGTGATGAAAACGGACGAGAAGTCGGGAAAAGTAGCGAATTTGAAGAAGTATTGGTTCAGCAGGTATATGGATTACATCAAGAATTACGAGCACACGCTGGAACAGAAATTTCCGCGCACGATCCAGGTTTATCGCGTGTTCAGCGTCGGCAGCAAGGACGTATACAAGGACCTGAAGCGGTTTGTCAGCGCGATCAAGAAGCAGAACCAGAACGGTACTGACAGCCTGACGCGAGAAGAGCTGCAACTGATGCACACAATGCCGCAGGACCTACGAAAGCTGTCGCCGTTGTTCCTGCTGTCGGCCATACCCTTCACGAATTACATTATTTTTCCTCTCGCCATCTATTTTCCACGTTACCTGCTCTCGTCCCATTACTGGACGCTGCAGCAGAAGCTGGAGTTCATGTTGTTAGATCACAAGAAGAGACTTAAACACAACAGGTCGTTGTTCAGATGCATGCAGGCAGAGCTCAAGAGCATCAAGAACCAAGCGCTAAAAATAAAGTGGCGAGATGCTATAGCTTGTCTGGGAAGTGGCACACACCCAACTACCAAGAATATTATAGCCTGTTCCGAATTATTTTCAGGCCCACCGTATTCTCTGAACAGTCTCAAAAGGAAACACCTAGTAAGTCTGCACATCTCATTATTATACTCTTGAAAATTTATACTTTGAAGACCTTGTAGCATTATATGTATTATCTTACTTCAGAAAGAATTATTAGCGATACATGGTATGTCTTTGTGGAGGCCTTTTAAAAGAAAAAGACTGATGGAAAGAGGTATGTTGATATTGCGTATGGATCGGGCTATCGTACGAGAAGGAGGTGTGAAGGCGATGCCTAACGAAGCAATGCGATGGGTAGATAAGTTAATTCATGTTTTATTGTTGTAATTCTTGAAAAACATCTTGTCTTATAAATATATATTTTTGTTATTTAGTGATTTTACTTTTTAGGCGTTATCCTTTAGAGGCGTAAACCCAACAAATATGTCTGTAGAAAGTATGAGAACTTGGCTTGAGCAATGGTTGGTAGTGTCAGCGTCCGTTGACAAAGATAATATATCTTTATTATTACATAGTCCAATTTTATTAGCTTATAATCATTCGACAAATTGGATTCTTATATATAAATAAGAAAACGAGGAGTTTGCTTGTGGCATTTTTGCAAAATATTTGATATCACTTATGTATATTAAAAGTTCTGACCAAAAGAGTTTCTATATCTTATATTAGCTCTTAAAAAATAATTCTAAAAAAATTAGTATGCTTTCATGAGTGCAGATAACCAATATTTTTATTCTGTATGTGTGTACCAGTGATTTACATTTTCTACACACAGTACGGTTCTGTGTAACTTCTAAATAATAATAAAAAAAAAGCAGATGAAACAAATTGCTTCCTGTACACAGTTAAATATTTATTGCCTTGTATGTTAGAAAAAGTAATTTAGAAAAATTTGTAATTAATTTAAAGAAATTGTGAAATCGTCGTTTAATTGTACAAAAAACTAACTACCAAATGTGATGATGGTTGTACCAAAGAAACAAGGATGTATATTGCGTACGAGTGTTTCTCTTTATTAATATATTTATAACATACATATATATACATAATTTATAATACTTTATATTTGTTACGTAGTTATATAATACATGTATATAATATATATATATATATATATATATATATATATATATACACAGATCTACCACAACTACATGGAGAATATTGGAAAGTTTAATTTGTAAATTAAATTTTCTAATATTTGTACAAATGCTTGCATGAAAAGAAAAAAAACGTTTTATATATAAGAATTGTTAAAAATAAAATTTCTAAATATGAAAGTTACTATTTTTTTTTTATATATATATTTTTATATACATTAAAAATACTATATTAACTTAATTCGTAAGTGACTCGATGGCAAAACCTTTAAAGTAACTGAAAAATTCATTGCTCTAAAATTAATGTACATGTATAAAACGTTAATTAGAAGGATCGATAGGAATATAACCGCCGATACAAACCTGTTCTTTCGTATTACTCTTCGTTTCCGACGCGTGTCCATTCTCTCGCGGCAAGGACTTGTCCGTTTCCTTCACAGATGAATCAAAGTCGATACAATGCACAGTGTCTTTTTTCTTCTCAAATTCTCGAGATACGTCGTTTGTTACTTCGTAATATCTTGGTCTGCTTTCTGGGTTCGGTGTCTCGGACTCGTTCCTTGCAGTTGACGCGGCTTGGTGTTCTCGCACGTCGCGCGTTTTGCTCGAATATTTCGCATTCTTTTCAGGATGAGAGGAATGGGACTTGTGGGGATAGGGACACTTTTCGAGTTTGCACTTTCCCGCTCGGTCGAATTCGGGACAAAGATATTGGTGACGTCGCTGGCACTATAGAGAAATAAATCAGTGTTCCACGCTTTACAAAATTACTATCACTAGTTTGAGATGAGACGGTTTTTTCATTCTAAAGTCTGTAATATCATCGAGGATATAAAATTTTCGTCTATGCTTAAATCAGCGATCTTAGATCTTTTTTATGCATTTTTTTTCTACGGGCTGCGTAGCAAACAAAAGTCAGTGCCACTACCTGAGAAATCTATTCCAGCAGTGTAACTAAACAATTTGCAACTCGCAGGCCCGCGTCTGAGATTTCTGTTATAATAACTTTACTCAGGAACTCTAAGAATGAAATCGATTATAATAGTTTAACCCTTTCGCTCCGGTGCGCTTGTGACAAAATATGATTGCTGTGAGAGGAACGCGTCGCTAACGGAGTTCTTACGACGGGATTTTCTGTTCTATAAACTTGAAAAACAAACGTAAACGCTCTTCTTATCCGAGCGTTTGTTCTTCGAGGGCGTATGCACATGCTCTTTAGAGCGAAAAGGTTAACAAGTAATTAACAATTTACATCATAAAAGTTTACATGTAGACAAACAACAGATTAAACAGAAACTGAATTCACTGACCTTATTTCCCTTGGCGCAATATCCTCGCAGAAAATCTATGCATATCAGTGTGGTCGAAGACACTTTGACATGGACATAGGGACAATTGTCCCTTGTGCAACGGCCGTCGAGGAAGTACTTGCACGTTGGCATCTTTTCGGGTCCAATGTCGTGCGATAGAGGACACTTGTCCAAGAGACACTTCCCTTGCAGAAATCTGTGTACGTAATTTACATGATGTAAGTTAAAAAGTGGACCTTTATTTGTAACATTAAAATTTTAATTCATCTATTGCAAGAGTTAGCGTAAAAATTCTATATAAAGTATTGTGTTTAATTTAGGCAGCAACTTACTTCTTACAAAGTGATACTTGTTTCTTATCATGTTTTTTGGGACAAGTGCCTTTGTTGTGATTCGGACAAGAACCAAATCGTTGAAATATTAAACACGGCTGATTATTTTTGTGCATTTTATTTCGCAAAATGCGAATGCTTTTCTGTTTTGCTTTGTTGCTATGAGAAAAATTAATATCGTGATTCAATAAATATAAAAATGTTTATAAACATTTAACAAACAAAAAGCTAATATGAGCACATGGTTTGAGAACAATTCTTCTTTAAGATGCAATACAAATTGAAGCGTATTTTTTAATTGCATTATTTTTAATTTATGATATTTAAAATAAACCTGTTGAAAACTCAATTCATATTCAATAAAAAACTTAAGCAATTTTTAAAAAAAAAAAAAAAAAAAAAAAAAAATAAAAATAAAAACTGATCAGTTTGTATTTATAGTTAAATGGTACCTAATACTATTTTTATATGTTGTTTTTGGCGATATATTGAAAGAATGTCGCGTTTTGCTACTTGTTTCTAACGTGCGATTTAGCATGTTAAAGCTTCTTCTAAGAGCTCGCTGTTTTTTAGCACTAGTAGCAATACTGAGTTTACTGCTTTTTCCACTAATCGACTTTCTCCCTGCAAATTTTTCAAAACATATTACCGCAGTAATACGTATATTGACAAAGTAAAACGTTAAGATAAGTGATTAATATAAAATGTACACAACAGTAACACACGTACGTTTCAATGGCGAGTTGTTTCGAACTAATTTGTTTTTCGAAGCTTTGTAAACAATATCACCAATAGTGACAAGCTTTGTCATGTCGTCTCTGCAACGTAAATATTTGCACAATTTTATATAAATTGTTTATTTGGTGTATAATCAATTAAAATATATGAGATTGTAATCCATAACGAGATATAATCACCTCACTTTTCTTCTTTCTAAACAATTTCTTTTAAGTTTCTTTACTTGCAATACAGTTCTGTCTATCTTATACTTGGTCACTTTAGATCTATTGATAGATTTGTTACCTGAATTTATATGAACAAACGTTCCATTACAGTTTATTAGATATTTTAACAATTACATGTTTAAGTAAATGTTGCGTCATATTTAAATAGTTACATGTTTAAGTAAATCTATTGGATAATTAATGTTTAAATAAAAACTTACTTACAGAAAGATCTACAAATTCTGTAGAACTGAAAAACTCACCTTGAGATATTGGGGTTTTTGATACTTTTGTAGTAGAAGCTACTCTCACAAGTTTTCTTCTTGACAAATGCACAATGCCAGTGTTACTAGTTCTCTTTGGAGAAATCTGATTACTAATGTTTTTAAAAGGCTTTGACTTGGAGCAAACAGATTGCTCTTTTGTGACTGGTTCTTTAGAATTTGTCATTGTTTCTTTTAAGTGTTTTAACAATGTTGGATTAACATGTATAGATGTTTTGACATTTGATGGATTAACAGTCTTGTCTATGTTTGTTTCTGTTGCACTCAGATTCGCTCTATTACTTGGTGTACATTGATTTGGATTAACTATATGATTCATTATTTTTGGATTTACATGGATCATATGAACATCTTTAGCATGAACACTTGGATTGATATGCACCGTTGGTTTTTGCGGTATAAAGTTGGGATTAATATGTACACTTGTTGTAGGAAGCAATTTCGGATCTATATGTTGATTTTGACTTGATTTCTTGGGTACTGACGCAGAAATAAAACTGATTTCATTCTTTGGAGCTGTACAAACTTGAGGCTTCACATATATGAAATTTCTGTTTGGACAATTCATCTTTTTGGCAGACTGTATTGCAATTAATTTCTCTATCTGATCTGCGGTTATAAAAAAAAGCAGTTAAATTTATACAATAGACATGTAAAAAAAAAAAAAAAAAAAAAAAAGTTTTTTTTCTTCTACGTTTCGATTTACATATCTTTAGTTTTTCCACGCGCAGGTAATATTGCAGTTAAACTTATGCCTAATACAATAGACATGTGAAAAGAAAAAAAAAAAACAAATAGGTTTTTCTTTCGTTTCGGTTTATGTCTTTAGTTTTCCACGCGCAGGTAATTTTGACCTTTTCTTCTCTTGTTTATCAACAAGAGAGACGAATTGAGGTTAAAGTCGCTTATCCGTGTGCATTTGTTCTATTCGTACAAATAGAGATATCAAGAGTAAAAAATTATCGGTTCCATCTACTACAATATGTTGCAATCTTACTTTTTATAATGCAAAGTTCGTTGAATATGTTGGCTTCGGCGATCGCGGATGAAGGACCTCCCATATTTCAACTACTTTCAACTCAAACTCACTCTCGTTCGTCTTTCGATTCGTTTCAATTTGTCGATCTCCGTTTTAGTAAATTACAACGCACATTTTCGTTTCCGTTTTGCTTATCTAAGCGCACGATTATCCGACGATTATTCGCAGGAAACACTTGCACAAAGAAACAAGCATGGAGGATTTACGCGAGGACAAGAGCATGACGTAGAGAAACATCATGGGTGAAGAAAAATATTTTTCGCTCAACGCATTCCGGGAATAAACCAATCGCAGTCTTTCATTTTTAGCCTGATCAAGAACTCTGATTGGTTTGTTCCTTAAAAGCAGCGTCATGACGGGTTATCGTGTAGTTTGTTTGTTTGTTTGTTTTTTTTTTTAAACCACGAATCACCCGCTCTCTATGCAGAAGCCATTAGAATTTCTCTATCCGACAACCAATCGACGTTCGCGGGTCTTGTCATTAGAAGAATACACGGGAATAACGCACGACAGAATATCATTAATACATAGAATGGCGTATGGACTAGCTTTAACCGGTTCGCTGAGACAATATTGCACCAAACCAATCAACTAGAAAATCATGGCGGATAATACATTTTTCCAGTAACGTTGGGTTGCGTGTGCGGGATTCGATACCACTGGATATCCACTGGAGAAGTTTTGTAACGATCAGATCCTTGAACGAGAAAGTTCTGAATCATGGGCTCGCACAAACATCACAAGACGGAGAAGTCGCGCGATGCCAAGAAGAAGCGTCACCGCAGTCGCTCAAGGAGCTACACGCCCGAGCGCGAGAAATCGGAAAAGCACAGGCATCACAAGAAGCACCGGAGAAAAGAACGCAAGGATTACGACAGCGACGGTACATGCGCGATAGAAAAAAAACAAGCTTTGCACCCGCGAATTGCAAAAAATTATAATCTTCTTTTTCTCTGTTGCAGTTGAAATTGTCAATGCGCCACCGCCACCGAAGATCTCGAAATCATCGCATCCGTCTACGCCCCCGCCGCCGGAGATTTCCAAGCAGCGCAGTCCGTCTCCTATTACCAAGAGTGGTAGTTCACAAGCCTCGTTGTCGATTGAGGAAACCAACAAACTTCGTGCAAAGTTGGGCCTGAAGCCATTGGAAGTTGACAATACACCAAAGGATGATCCCACTAAAATCAAGGATGATTTGGGAGAGTTTCATCACAAGCCTGCACCAAACAACAGCGACAAGATCAGAACTCAGAAGCTGAGAGAGAAGTTAGGAACTCAAAAGGAAAAGCGACAGATAGAAGCTAATTTGGCAAAAGTGAAAACTCTGGGTGAATGCGACTCAGATGATGACACCCAAGTGTGGATCAACAAATCCAGAAAATTAGAGGAAGAAAAGAAGAAAGCAGAACAAAGAGTAATGTTTTACTATTATTTTTATTGTCAATAATTTATATGTAAGATAAATATCTATTATAGATTATTATAAATATAATGTCATAATAATAAATATAATATTGTGTAATACTGTGTTGTAATTTTAGGCAAAGGTATTGGATCAACTAGATGAAGAGTTTGGAATTGGCAACTTGGTGAAAGAAGAAATAAATACTGCTCGTAACGCTGCATATACAGAAAAGAATCTAAAAGGCCTCACAGTTGAACACAATCCTGTAAGTATAATAATTTATCATATATTGTTCACACAATTTGAATGTATGTGTTAGATGTGCTTAGATACTAAAAATGTCTTACAGGAATCATTTGAAGAAGGTAAAACTGTGATCTTAACGTTGAAAGATAAAGAAGTGTTGGACGAAAGTAACGATTTACTTGTAAATGTCAATATAATTGATAACGAGCGTTACAAACGCAGTATTCTAAACAAAACTAAAAAGCCCACATACGATCCGTACGCTGATGAAAACTTCGACGAATATGGATTTTCTAAGAGCAGTATTTTGGAGAAATATGACGAGGAAATTGATGGCGAGAAGAAGGATAATTTTGTTCTCGGAACTAACAACGCGATGGATGTAAAACGACGTCAAGTGGAGATAGTGAAGCAACGTCTGGCCAATAAAAAATTAGAGTCGCTACAGATAGCAGAACCGAAGTTAGCAAGTGAATATTACAACGAAGAGGAACTTGCTAAGTTTAAGAAACCAAAGAAAAAGGTAGAGAATAAACTTGTGCAATTTGGTGTTTTGTGTATTTGCTCAATTTTATTTTTTAAGAAATACATAGTTAATTTGCGATTTATATACGGTATATGATATTATTTAAAATGTATGATTCTAGATTCGAAAAATTAGAAAGAAGAAACTCAGAGCTGACGATTTGGTACCTATAGAAAATGACTACCTTAGGGATCTTGGAAGTAGGAGGAGAAAAAAACCAGATGATTCGAAGGACAGTGATACTTTAGATGTTGATGATTTGGAAGGTAAAGTTCTATAAAGTAGATGGAAGTAAAATTTTAATATTTATCTACAAAAGTTGATAAGTATTAAAATTTTGTACATCGAATGAGTGTATGTTGATTTACTTAGATATCAGCTGCATTTCTTAATTTGAGAATAAAAAAAAACTTAATTCTGCAATAAATATATTATTTTATCCGCGCTCTCTCAACTTATATACACGTGTGTAAATTACTTAAATCAGCTCCCAAAGAAGATCTTACTGGAATAAAGCTGGAAGAAGATGACAAAGAATTGGAGTTGCAATTGGCTCTGAAGAAAGCTCAACGACTGAAGGAAGGACATTTATCCGGAATTCAGAAAACCATAGACACGATAAAACAAGAAATTCTTAACTCGGAAGAGAGTCAATCTGGAAATATTGTTCTCAATTCTACCGCGGAATTTTGTAGAACTTTAGGCGACATACCTACGTATGGGCTTTCTGGCAATAGAGAGGAAAACGGACAGGAACTTATGGTACGTAAAGAAACTGATATGTTGGCATTTGTGTTGGATGTGACGTTACAGATTCGTTATGCGAATGTTGTAGGATTTCGACATGGATGAGGTCAAGGATGAGCCACCAGTGAACGAAGACGAAGACGACGGTCGCGGTGCCTGGAACACAGTGCAATTAGGTATTTTTATTAGTCAATGCAAATTTGTATTTTATCTCTCTTTTGTGCATCTCTGTAAAATTTATTATATTAATATAGACGAGAACACCACGGAACCAGTCGTGATGGAGGCGGCAATTTTGGACGCCGAGCCGTCTCTCGGACAGGGGGTAGGTGGTGCTTTGAAATTAGCTATGAGTAAAGGTTATTTGCAGAAAGAAGATAGCAATCGGCCGTCGGCGTCGCGATTTGCACATCTTCAAGCACAGAATTACTCGATAGAGGACAAAACTTACGGGTAAGCGACTCATGGTATTATCGCGCGATTCGACACAAGATCATTTCTTACGTTTTTTTTACTTTTTTTATTTTTTAACACAAGATGCGTGTCGCGAGGGAAAATACGCGAGAAGTGGGTCTTGCGTCGAACGCGTTTATACAATACTGTGTTAGACAAGTCTCTAGTGAATTTCGAACTGTCAGTTAACAGTTTAAAGTAGAGCCCGGAAATCGGTGCTCGGAACGGATGTGATCCGCTACCACTACGAGAGTTTACCGCTTAATCGGAGGCGAACAGAAGGCCGAGAAGAGAGTAGGATTTGTTAAGGTATGTTTATGTTATGCGATTTCTGTAAAGCTGTGCGGATCTCCCGATATGAGATTCCAGACAAGTTTTCGACCTCATCGATGCGCAATCGCCTCAGCGCCGAAAATCGCTGGATTGTTCACAACATATGAATGTTATAGAGAATTAATTTTTAACAGTACTCATACAGAGAACCTGCACGTGTTCAGTAAATATCGGCAAATTTTATCGCGATTCATAGATTCAATATAGAATTTAATATTTAAATGTTTTACATTTTCGAATAAGAATAATATAAAAAAAAACAAATGTTTTTTTTATCTTACATAAACAATTATCGGGTTTTTTCATAAATAATATATAAAAAACGATATATATCAAAGACACATTATATAGATAACGTAGTAGATTAGATAGTTTAAACATGTCGCAAGATAAGAAAGAAAAACGGAAGGAAGAAAACTTTATGTTCGGCGTTGTCAAAAAAATTGTTGCTTCATCGGGCTTGTTTCGATTTACTTCAGTTCGATCGCATAATATGCGTATTCCGAAGATTGACGAGCGTTATTCTTCACTTGTCTGTGTTGGTAGTGGATACACAAGTTTCAGAACACCGTATTTCAAAGGGCTTTTTATATTTTCATCTGCTGTATTCAAAACTTGATTGAATGAGTTACATAAATACTGAAAAAAAAAAAAAAATACAGGCACATTTCTAGCTGACATGAAAAGAAGAAACACAGCATCGAGGTGTCAGTTTATCTGCTACGTTTATGTGATGGTTTTTTCGTTTCAGAGACGACGACAAGTTCGGCAGAAGAGATCGCTTTAACGGACCGACGTCCGATTTCAAGGAAAAGGAGGGTTTCAAACCGAACGTCAAGCTCGAATACATCGACGATGACGGTCACGTCTTGAGTGCCAAGGAAGCTTTTCGATATTTGTCGCACAAGTTCCACGGAAAAGGCCCGGGCAAAAATAAGGTTTTTATAACAGATCAAATAGATTGAAGTAAAAAAAAAAGTATTTAACTCACAATACAAATTTAAGTCGCAATGTGTTAAACTCGTTTAAATATCAAATTCATGTTTAAAATAATAATGAGCTTTCAAATATGGATATTTTAGGTTGAGAAGAGAATGAAAAAAGCCGAACAGGAAGTTCTAATGAAACGAATGTCCTCAACGGATACACCTCTAGGTACGCTGAACTTGTTGCAAGCGAAACAGAAGGAAACCCAGTCACCGTATATAGTGCTTAGCGGCAGTAAACAGATGCAAACGTAAGAGAATATCCAAAACTTTATCTGCGATTGACAATTTTGCGAAATATGTCAATGATTTAATGAATTTTTTTTCCAGGACTAGCATAGCTAAAACGAAACACTAAGGAAAATAAAAATACATAAAAAGCAAAGTATATATATATATAAGAAAAAAAAAAAAAAAAAAGGCAAGAATTGTACATAATCTTACGTATGTAGTGCTTGGAAATAAAAACAAAAAAAAATTTATGTTCTCAACTTTAACGTGACTTGGCACAGAAAAATTAAAAGACGAGCGAGGAAAACCTATTCGTTTCTGATAATCGATAAACTCACGGTTTGAACCTTTATTTAATTCTATAGTGCAATGTTTAAAAAATAATGATGAAAAAAAGCAACAATTTTATGGATATTACTTTATATAATGAAACATTTTTTTCCACACACAAAATACATAAACAATATTTCTTGATCACACACGTATGAGTTCTATACTTCGCAATATATATATTGTGTAAAAAAGAAATGTGTAGTTTTTAATTTTGTGATAGTTTGCAGAATATAAAGTGCGAATCGCACTTACGAATACACATGTACGAACCAAAAATATCCAGAAAGAGAACTTAAGCGACGGAAGAAAAAATGTGTGTGCACATAATTTTATCCGAGTTGTCGCAGATGAGATAAAAATTTTTAGTACACTCACACGTCTACCATATATTACAAAAAAAAATAAAAAAAATTAACAAGTCAACGAAGAAAAATGTGAAAATGTGAAAATCTACAAATTAAATATATATCTCTTGCGCATATAATTTGCGGTATTTAAATAACTGGACGTGTAAAATACATACTTTTATTTGTCATAAGATATACTTGCGCCATCTTTCTATAAACCATACATCTCTACTACAAATAATTGCTAAATAGAACAGTTCGAAATAGAGAGAGAAATAGAGAGAGAGAGAGAGAAAGAGAGAAATACTACAAAATATAGTTTTATCTTTACGAATATATTATTTTTCTATTTTTTTTTGTATATCGTAAGTATCTGTCGAGATATATATCACTACTTTTTTTTGTTAAATATAATATATATATATATCTTTACGCGAATAATAATGAGTAAACTTTTTATTCGCTAAGTTTACAACGAGTTTGATATGGATATTAAACGTTGTCAATACTATTTTCGTAATGAGGATAAAATTTCTTCACTATAAAAAAAAAAAAACAGTAATATGTATATACATACGTACGTATATACACATACATACTGTTAAGTATATATCCCTGATATCACAAGGCTCGTTTTTTTGTGCAAAAATACTTAATAGTTAATTCTTTGCATCTTACACAGCGGCTTATTACATTATTAATGGCCTTTTTTTGTTTGTTTTTTTTTTTTTTTATAAATACACGCGTCCGTCTCTTTCCAGCCGATGACACACAACCGCGTCTATGCATGCGTATGTACGCAGTATGTACGCAGTACCTTCTGGGTAACTAAAATCTTTTTTTTTGTTTTGTTTTTTGTTTTTAATTCTACTGTGAAATGTGTATTCTCATGCAGAGAAAGTTTGGCACTTTCTTTGGCAATCTCTGACACACTGGTTGCACGTACGTTCGGTTTAGCACCTTGGTTCGATTCTTTTCTTTTTGAATACAGATATGTGTGTTATTTTGATCGTTATTATATTAGAGAGAGATTTTTAATGTTATCTAAAAACAATGGATTTTTCTGTTGGCTTTGTTTATCTACACGCAACTACTATTGCCGTTCAATGTGATCCTGACGCGATATTCATCATTCGATTTCCACTAATCGCAAACATCAAAAATCAGATCCAAGTGTTTCAAGTCATAAGAAAAAATAATTCTCCAAAATTACGCAAGTTAAACGAATTGCTGTTGTAAAAACTTACTCAAAAAGAACGCGGAGCAGTTATAAACACGAAGACGTAATCCTACCGTAAATCTTAAAACCGACGACAACATTACTCGTCGCCGAAATATCGTTTTAAATATACATTCTTTATAAAAATTCTCTTTGATAAAACACTCCTCGAAGACGAATTCGAAAGTGATTGTTATCTGTTTAAAGTGTCGGAGGTTTGATCAGACTTTTGTTTGTTGCTTCCACCGACATCCTCGCTTCCACAACTCGGACTAAATAATCTAACGGGTTTGATGGACTTCAGTTTCGTGGTACCGCCGTATCGGAAGTTCACGTCGCTGCAGGTGTCGAGCGGATGCACGGTCCCGGTTAAATTTGTTAGCAAGTCGTTGTTCGTGGCCTCGAGCTTACTCGTGGGTACCTTCTTCACGGATCCCAATTCGTAAGCCGACTTTGACGATTTCAATTTGATCTTCAGCGGCAACGATATCGATTTCTCCAGATTCGTAGCCGGAACCTTGAGATTGCTCTCGCTTTGGGGAATCGGATTGTTGGCAAGATTCATGGTATCCGTGATCTGAATGTCGATGTTGACCGTTTTAGGATCGTTCTCGTCGTTGTTGTTATTGTTGTTGTTGTTGTTGTTGTTGTTGTTGTTGCTCCGTATCGGTTGTTCGGTATACTCGTTCCTGAGGGCCGCCAGTTGCGCGCGTTGCTTCTGTATATGATTGTGCGAGTTCGAAAAGAACGAGGAGAACTTGGTCGCCAGATTCGGTTGGCTCAGAGCAGATTTCAACGGATACGGCGTGTCCATGTTGTTGTTCTTCAAAAGAGCCTGAGACTCTCTTCCGGTCGAATTGCTCTTTATCATCCCGTATTTGTTGTCCTCGATTACTTTCAACGGATAAGACTTGCCTGCGTTTCGTCGTTTCTCGACCATGCTCAGTTGAGCGAGTATTCTGCGAACGTCGCCCGACACTTCGATGTCGGTGCGCGTATCTACTAACTGTTGAATGAATTCGCCTAACGTGGTCACGGTCACTTCGAGACCGCGATTCTGAGACTCAAGTTTGTGGATGGTCGCTTGTTGCATCGAGCGCGCTGTTTCGAGTCTACGCAGATTGTTCATGGTAATCTGAAATGTAATTTCAACATTTATAACACATTTTCCGAGAAAGCGATAAAAGACGTGTAAAATGAGGTAAGTTTAGAATCGTTTTTTAAAAATGTTACTGCGTTTTTTTTGTTTACCTCAAGCTGCTCACTAAGTTGCGCAACTTCTTGCGTGAGTTGCTTGTTCATCAGTTTGTACTTTTCCAAGTTTTCCATTTGCGGCTTCATCGAGATCATTTCCTCTTGTAATACTTGATATTCGACTCTGTATTCGTTCAATTGCTTCGTCATATCCAAATCGGGATAAAACACTCGTTTCATGATATGATCTAAGCTTTCTTTGTCCACTGCTGGTACACGCACCTAAAGTCAAAAATAGAAATATAATAATTGAAATAAATTTTCTTTCCTCTTGTTGTGTCGAAGCTTGATAGTAGAATGCCGTTAGAAAGTAGAATGACCTTACTTTGAGATATTCCATAATTTCCTCAAAACTGTCGCAATTTAATAATTGACTTTGATGCTCTTCTAATAGTGCGACTGCTACACGGAAGAGCACTTCAGAACTTTCCAAAAATAGCAAATCTGTAAGAAATCAAGTCAAAAAAAGACAAATCATTAAAAACAATTTTTTTAAAATTAAATATAGTTTTGTAAATTGTCGTTACAAATTGAACAAACGCGTGTGTATCTTACCGAAAACTCTGGTAACAAAACCTAAAGGAAACTGGCTGGCAAACAAAGTCAACAACCATGGAGCGGCGTATAAAGTAGGCGACACTTCGTGTTTATCGAAATGATTGTAAATATCCGGCAAACGATCATGTAGCAATCTAGAAAGTTGATACAAGTGTAACTGCAGTGCCGCCATGTCGGGCAGATATAATTTTCTGAGCCCTCGACGAAACATTAGGTGTCGCAATAAGAAAAAGGCTTGATCCTCTGCCATCTAATAAGAAAATCAAATAAATTTGTCCATGTTTCATAGAAATTCGATTATTACCGAATTGTAGAAAAAAAAAAAAAAACCAATGTAAAAACAAAAATATCAAACTTACGTGCAATAAAAGCACGCCGGCGACAAAACTGAGACCTTGGCAATAGCCGACTTCGTGATCCAGCAAGGAATAAGCTTTCAGCAAGTTGAAAAGCGCCAATTGACCAGGTCCCAAGTGTGAACTGAAATACGGATGATTTGGGAACGTTCTTCCCAAATCGATGAGAATAGCGTGTTGCTGAGACGTAAGTTGCTTCAGAAGCAATTCGTAAGGTGTGTTGTAATTCGGAAAATCCTGAGTGTCTATGGGCGGTTGCTTCAGGCAGAACTGCTCGGCCAGAAATTGCCAGACCTCACCTCTCTTTCCTTTCGGCACACCTGTGTATGCGTACATTGTGTAATTTAATATATCTCGAGAGTAAAGATTTTCAAATTGCAATTGCGAGATATATTGTTTCTGCTTACCTTGTTTGATAGCGTGCAAAAGCATTTGGTTATCACATTTTGTGGAGACTCGCGATTCTTTGCTAATGAGGAGATCCCAAACTTCCACCACTTTGCGCGCGCAGCTGCTGAGTTCGTCGTATTCCAACTTGATTCTCTTCACCGCTTCCTTCTTACTTGCTTCTTCCTGGCGTTCTAAAATTTTCAGTGGAAAAACTAACGTCAATATATATATGTTGTATATGAGACAATTGTAAATTTATAAATGTAATAACATACAAAACATATAAAATACATGTAATATTCTTGAAAATATACATTCCAGATACATAAGATCTCTGTTTACCTCTAAGTTTTGCGTTCTCCTTTTCCATTCTTATGAGTATTAGCTGTTGATTGATCGCTTTCTTCCACAAATCGCGCAATTCTTGTTTTGTCCTACGTTTCACGGGTGTCTCTGAACTTTTGACGATACTTATATTTCCAACTTCTTCGATCTCTTTGGCATTGCGATCTTTGTTTGGTGTCACAACTCTGTTCAGTATCGTCTGCCGCCACGAGCCATTGGCTTGCATCGTACCGTTTCCATCAGTTTCCGTCGGTGACGATTTCGGTGAGTTACCGACTTTCAAAAAACTACAAGAAATACAAGTACGAAAAGGATAACAAATCAAAAAAAAAAAAAAAAAGATAGTAGTTAAAAATACACCTGGAAACAAAAATTATACTAACATGTCCATCATGGAACTCTTCGGCCCGTTGTTCGCGATGATTTGTTGTTCGGGCGAGACACGCAATGATCTCGGTCTACTCGATTCCGGCGAGGTGTCCATTATGGACGGATGTCGCGATGTGTCCGGACTATTGCTCTTTTGTATTCCCGCATTTGCGTTCAAATGGTTCGGATCACGCAATTGCGGACCCAAACCAAAGTCGTCACGTGAACCTTTCCTCTTCATCAGATTGTCAAAACTGTTTGTGAGAGAGCGTTTCGCTTTCATAAATATCGTGCTGCCTACGCCGACGTTCAAATACTGATTGAGGAATTCACTCCTGTAATGCAAAATATAAAATGTTTCGTTTGTGCATTATTTCAATCTACCGATGGAGAATCTTTACAATCACGTTCAGCGATGTGATACCTGTTCTCGGCTGTGTCGTGCACGTGTCTAGCCTGTTTCGATTCGCAGTGAGCGCGCAACAATCGCATGAGAAATTGATTTTGCTCACGGAGGCTCGACGAACCGGCGCCAATGGTGCCCGCGGCTTCCGCGCCTTTATATTTACTTACGACGAGCTCCTGCTCGTCTTCCGGCAGCAACACCATGCGCGAAAAGATAATATTTTGTACTCTTGTATCATTTTGTCCTGGAAGAAAAGATTCGCTAAATCAAGAAATTGAACTTTGAGAGATCCATACGCTGGAGATTACACATGTAAAATCTATTTTTAACATGTAAATTAATACACGTACAAAAATTCGAATTGAACAACAATTCTATTCTAATTAATATAGAATGTTACTTTGCATCACATAAAAAGATTTACGTACGCAAAAAAAATTAATTTATTATCGCACTTTCACAAAGACGCAACTGATGCAGATATTGTACATACCTTCGATCTCTTGACACAGCTTATTGTACCAATACATAGGACAATGTTCGCAAGAGAACACAGGATATCTCTCCTTCCTTGTGACATCGCAAGATGTGACAGCTTGATTAATCGCTGCAAAGAAAATATAAAATTGTGACAATAGCGTTGAATATCGGACTTTTAACAAACAATATGTCCTGCGTTACAGTTAAAATATCTTGCCTGCAACAAGATCATCCGCGACAGAGCCGGATTGACATTTGAAGACATATCCGATAAAGCAGTCTGGTTCCTTGCAGACAATTCCAAAGTGTTCGGTATTTTTTACGCCCTTCGCGCAACTGGCTACGTCCCTTACTTGTTTTTGCAGAACTATGCGCTTTCTGTCGGGACTGATCAGTATCAACTCACACTGTCCTACCTGGAAATATAAAAAAATTTACTTAAAATATCTTTAAAATTAACAAAACCGGAGAATAAATGCAAAAAAAAACTTTATAATATATTAGAGGTACGTCTTTGTTTTAGTCTAAAAGCTTGGTTCGTACTTCGAACAGCATAGTGCGATTGTGATCGTCATTCCCCTTGCTCGCAGAATCTCGCCTGCCGCTCAAGACGCTGCCGGTGGATGCCGCGCGATTTCGCATCGTTTCAGGTACGGTAATATTAGAATTAACGGAAGATTCGGACGTCCGATTCTTATCACGAGCATCGTTCTCAGCGAGACCGGCGGTCGTTCTTGGGAAAGTTTCCACCGAACCGGTTAGCACTGGCGGGACTCCAAGCGAATTCACGCTTGGAATTGTACTGCTGTTTCCCGACACGTTCTCGATACTGCCCGATTCACTGGCAGTGGATTCCTGTTGAAAATGTTAACGGTTAACATTTCCGCTTGCCAAACGTGTGACAAATATCGAAATATACTTTACTGGCTGTTGCAACGTGTATTTTACGCAGATCAAAAAGTTTTCCGATTCGACGATAACGTTTGAAAACAAAGAACGCGAATATCAGAGTTACTCTTACCGTACTGTTTCTTCTATTATTCATAGAAGCCATCAGAGCTTGGCGTTTTAGCCGTTGACAATCTGAGAGAAGATTGCTCGTTGAAGATCTCGATTTTTCGAGTCCATGAACGCGAAATTTAATCAAAGCGTCGTCGATAAACGATTCCGGCACTTTCGCATGCGAGACTTTAATCTTGCCAACGTAAAACACCTGAAAGTTTTTTGAGTCATTATTACAAATACAAATGAAAATTTATACAATTTGTTTGTTTTTTTTTTTTTATTCAATCTTTCCTTAAGTAGCAAAGAAAACTACAAGAAGAACTATAATGAAAAAATAATTACTTCGAAGAATTGGGAAGAACTAGGAGATATATCGGCACCTATAGACGTCAAGCTAGCCGCGCTGCTCTGCGACCGCTGCGGCAAGTCCTTATCTCTCTCCATTCGTTGGGCCGCTGAATGCTCCTTCATGTCTCTCAAGAACTGTTGAACCTACGAATGAAACAAACGCCGCAACGTTACGTAACAGCAACTAATAGGCACCCGCATGAAACATCATGTTTGCTTCAGGCTCTTTGAGAAGCTGCACGATTGTCGCTAAGTTTATTTTTTTCTTTTTTATAATACTTGTGTCTTACTTTGTTACGCTGCTGCTTTATCTAAGCAAGAAGATCTTGATAGAGTTTAAATTTAAACATTATTATCTAAGAAAGATGAGACGTTCGCAAACTGATAAAAGAGCGATGCACAATTCGAATCCGACGTTCGACCGGAGACCGATTTGCTACGAAAACGCTCAATCTGTTCAGAAATAATTTGAAACACAACATTTCGTCGACGGCGGGATCATTGATATACCAAACGAATTTCGCAAGAAAACGTGCACCAAACGTGGCCGGTGGCCGTGGACCAAAATAACTCATTTCAGCAGCACTCGTGGACTGCATGGCTCTCTCATTCCCTGTCTTTCTTGCACGTTCTTGCGTCTCTCTCTCTTTCGTTCCTCAACTTCTTCTCACGTTCCGCATCTGGTGCTCATCTTTGTGACTTCGCCCGAAGAGAGAGAATATTTCAACCAGAATTTAGGACGCGTAATGAAGGCAACGCTCGTCTTTGACAAAAAAAAAAAAAAAAAAAAAAGGGATGTAACGCTCGCAGCAGAAATTGAGAAAAGTAACGAGGCTTGAGACGATTCATCGGATTGATTTCACATTTTATCTCGACGAGATTAATCGCAGACACCGCACCACCTAAACGAAACTCACGTGTACATATACGTTTCGTTTCGACTTCAATTTGCTTTTCAATGCAAGACCGGAACGCGCAGATTTTCCCGGTAAGGTCGCTCGATTTCTCCGGTGTTATTATTATTGCGTGTCACTCGTTTATCCACGTTGCGACAGACGTGGGATTGAGCGCGACATAATTCTCCTCTAACGAGTCTCGCCGCGACCAATAGACATGGACGATGAGAATTACGGAGGTCACAGGACAATGTCTACATATGATACTTGCGCGATAATGACAGAAACATCTGGTCTTGTTTTTGCAATCGTAATCTCCGCGAATGACGGACGGTATGTGTCGTCGTCGTCGTCGTCGTCGACACCGTCGATACAAAGCAAGCGTCCGCGTGACGTCGAGAGGTTGATATATATATATAATCCAAAAGCCTTCGATAATCCGCGACACAGCGCGGTTATCTTGACGACCGATAAATATTTGACCGAAGAAGGTGTTCTGTTTGGTGACACGGAATGCAGATAGTCGGTTAAATAACAGGGGCTTCTTGTATCCAATTAAGGCCTCCGTGCTTTACTTTATTACGTCCCCTTCTGCGTTTTCACAAAGTTGTAGGTACACACCCGGTATTGACATCCGATACAGAAACGCCGTAAGCCTGTCGTTACAACTTGTTCCTCGATTCCTCACGCAGTTTGACGAAGAATGTTAAAAGCTCGTTTAAAACAAAACGCGCTTCTCACGGTAGTTTAAATTTTTAGGGACGAGTGCACGTTTAACACTTTTGTAGAATACACTGTAATAAAATAAGTTTTATCGCGTAGATTCGTCCGACATCCGACATTAAGGATTTTCCAGTCGTATAAAAATAAACGTGTTTCGAAAATATACACAAATATAAAATAATCCCGAGTGTGCGGGAGAAGAGCAAGAAGTATATGTCGCGCGCGATAGCAAAACACATGTTGCATAAAAAGAAAACTGAAATAAATCAAATGAGAAATTAGAAACAAGAGAAGAAGAACAAACTCGGAGCTTGTTTTTCAAATAAAGAAACGATATCGTTTCTCGGAAGAATAAAAATATATTACTTTACGCGAGAGAAATAAAAATCATCGCGTTCATCGATAGGACCCGATTCGTCGGGAACGCTGAAAATAGAACGTTCGACTCTGCCGATACTATTTTCTTCTAAGTGCTTGGCACTTTGCGCGGTGCGTGAACACACACACACACACAGAGAGAGACACACACGCTCGACTTTGTCTTCGATCTCAATTGATCGAGTTAAATTTCGTCATTGTAACTATATGAATTGTACGTCATGTGTATTGGATACGAGGATGGCACGAATCGATGTCGTGCGAGCGCGTGGCAGCGATTGGATTCACGTGCGGGAAACAATCTCGCTGCGTGCGCGCGAAGAACGCTGAGAGTTTCGTTTCAATTGAAACGATTGCGAGAATGATACAACCCGAACGGCAACCCGCTCGTTTACGTGGACGCGATTTTTCACGAGAGAGAACGAACGCAATAAAAAAAATCGCACAAAAAGATCAATCGTTCCTTCGCCATTATATAATTATTCCGCCTCGTATTTTGGATATTTTTATTATTTTATTTTTGTTAAATATGTACTTCGCGATCCCATTGAATTGTTGGAAAGAACATGTGCGTAAAATATATATAATAGAAAAATTATATCATTGTGTTATTCCAAGTTCAGTCGATTTCTAGAAAAATCGTGACACCAAGAAGACCTTTTTAACATTCTCTCGTCGTGTAGAATAATTACGCTACTTCTTATATAAACTCAATCAAGGTAATTGATTCGACTTTTGTTTTTTTGTTTTTTTGCAACTTAGCATTAAATCTCCAATCGGAATATTAAAACGAACAAAATACATTTCGCTCAGGAAACGAATATACGCTCGGGTGTAATTATAAAACATTTGCCGCTACTGCGCGATTAAATTATATATATATATATATATATACATATGTCATTCTCACGAGTACTATTATATTTATTTTAGCCGTATTATTTTCTATTCAACGAACGAGGAAACTCTCGTTTTGTGTGAGTGCAGTTACGCCGACGATTCGTCGCGCAGACGAGAGATTGAAGTGTGCGTTAATGTTAAGTAGCGTTAATTTATTCCTCGTGCGAAACTTCTTCGGCGTGTCGAGGAACACGATGGATTCATCATTGTCTTTCTTTCTCTCCCACGGACGACCTCCGGCGTCCGTGTTATAATACGCCTCGTTAGCAACCGTGCTGAAAGCACCACGATTATGTAAATACGCACACGATGAGAATAACAACGCATCAATTATTAATGATCGAACGATAATAGGACTGTGTCACTTTCGATCGTGGGACACACACCCCAAATGCAATTATTAAAATGGGATCGCTGTTTTTTTTGCTATTTTTCTTCTCCGGAGAATCGAATTTTGCGTTATTGCTCAGGGTAAACGGCGGTTTCAATAATATCGGTAATTACGTCAGAACCAGCTCCTCGTCGAGGAGCGATTATTATACAGAACGAGATTGTTAAAGCGAGATACTTGGTTTTTATTCTTCTAAAATATTCTTTTTCTCTTGCGGTAGAACGTACACTCGTATGCCTCACCGCGTATAAATAGCTCAAAGTATCCGAGTAATAAACCGGATACATTTCAGAACACACGGTAAACTCCGCGTGATAATTATTTATTACATACGGGCGACTTGTCCTAATCCTTTCACGAATACTCGGACTTTCGCTCGAACGAGCGAAGTTTGGGAACGCTCGATGTTCAAGAGAAACGATACAATTCCGCGTCGTTACGTTCTTCAGCAACATTTCGCCATTTTTAATAATTTCTAAAAATTAAAAAACAGAGCGAGAAACTTAAAGAACTGATAAATCAGTTTATTTTTATATCTTTATTACATTTGTTTTTATTCGCGAGGTTCTATAAAAAATATACGCGATTCCGTCGTAACAATTATTAAGTCAATCGGATTTTCAAAAGTTTCTCGAAATCAACTCGGAGATAGTCTGCACGTACGACTTCCACACCGATCCGAAGGACATTTACAAGAGTTTATTCGCGACAACGGCCACGTAAAACCGACGTGGAAAACTACACGCATTCTGCAAAGAAACGCGTTCGCACCGAGAAACTTTTGTTTCTTTCGGCATGAAAATGGAAGAGTAATTAGGCATCGCGGCAAATTTTTTCCGCATCGTCGATGCAACGCGACAACGAGATGCAGCAGCGAGAACTAGTAGAGAGATCTCGGAAAAAATCTATCGTCGCTCGCGGCCATCTAACCTGATAAACACAAAGTGTTGACGAAACGAGAAGAAAAACTGGCACTAACTTATGGCACAGTGTTTCTCAATATCCTTCCGATTCTTCTAAGTCTTTCTCGTTTTTTCTGCGCTTTTTTTCTTTAGGTTTTATTTTCCTGCACTGGCTGCACTAGTTCTATCTTTTTTTATTCATGGAAGAAAAAAATATAAACTCTGAACTAGTTCGGGGAAATGGAACAACCCTTTTGTTACATTTTCTAGTATTTTTTCTATTTGTTTTTTTATTTTCAGTAAAAAATAATCGAAGATACGCGCGATCTGCTCTCAGATCGTTTTACGCGCCAGGAGTTAAGCGATAAATCAATACTTCGATCACTCGATTACCTCATCATTTTACTATTCAATCATCGGTCGTGTTATTACCGCGCGTTTGCGCGCGGGCGAAGACGAGCGGCTTCATTCTCGTCACGAATGCAATTACGCGGCATCAATTGCTCCAATAATTGACATATGCGAAGTTAATGCGGGTTCTTTAACAAATGATAACAAGGAAGCAATCGTACGATTCACGTCCCGGGCTCTCAATCTTCCGACGATCCGATTTAACAAATGCATACGTGTGTGCATGTGTTGCACGAGAAGGAAAGGCATGTGTCGAACGATCTTTTGTAAATCAAATCGGTATCAACCTGGAAGGGGGAGGAGGAAAAAATTCATTGCCAAGTCACACAGCGGTTTCTAAAGAGGACGCGTGTCTCTCCCCATCCGATCCGCTTGCGTATGCCGGACTCGTTGCCAGCGGCAACATTTTCGGAATTACACGTCCACGCGCGAGAAACTGTCTCGTCCGCGAAAATTAATGAAAGCAGTCCGCACTTTGGACCAGAACCTTTGGTCAGGAATCAGGGTATTTATAAATGAGAGCGTGAAATGAACTTCTTGCGCGCGCGCGCGCGCGCGCGACAGGAAAATGACTTTGGAAAAGACGCAACTCTCTGAATTCGCGGCTTATTCGCAAAAGGAATGTTTGCAAAGAGAGATCTCTCGTTGCGCTTCTTCGCGAAGACATCGAAACACGATCAGTCAACGGTTAGTGAGACGAGTTTGGGATTTCACGTCGCTCGTGTTCGGCGGATGTAAATTTAGATCGACTGTACGCTCGGTTTCGCGAAAATACGCCCGCACGCGCTTGACAGAAGAAAGGAGGGAAGAGTGTGATTCACGATTCATTCGGAAAAATTCGGGTAAATCGAAAATAATTTTTCCCATCCCCGAAATTTCGCTCAACGATTTTAATCTCGCGAAGTTTCGCTGTGAACGTTTTCTGCCGAGACGATGCGCGCGCACAACTTTGAAATTCGCTGAAAAATCAAAATTCAATCAACGATTCAATTAACGCAATATATGTTTTTTTATTGCGATTGTTTTCGGCGACAATTCAAACGGTGAAACAACGGACTCGAGAAGAACTCGAAAGCGAAGCTTTCAGTTTTATTCGCAACAAAACATTCCTGCCGCAACCTTGAGATGAACGGAGCGATGGAACGAGCGATAACGACGACAAACAGATTCGCTAATAAAGAAGTTCCAGGCGATAAACACACGCGACGAAGAAAATTAATAAGGTCACCGACAAGTATTGAAACGACAAGTTTCGCTCGAATGGCGTCAACTTGGCTCTAATTAACTCTTTATTCGCGCGTCATCAATTACCGCCGACATTTTATTGAAATCCTCGGCGAAGAATGCGAGTTTTCGAATAATTTCGGAAAAAATGTAACATTTTGAATAAAAAAAAAAAAAAATCACGATCATTATCCAGACAAACGCTCCAAGTTAAAACGATGGAAAAAATCGCCGCGTGAAGATTTTTTCAACAAGATCAAAATTTTGACGCATGTCAATTCTGTTAACGTTCGATTGTGGTCAAAAAACGCGAGTTCTCTCGCTTTTTGAGAATTACGCAAATAAACTTGGGTGGTCAACGGATAATTTGCGTGCAGTTTCATTGAAACTATTAATGACGAGCGCACGGCATCATTACCTATCGGTGCGCGCTTACGTAATAATGAAATTTACGTAATCCAAAAAAAAAAAAAAAAAAAAAACGCGTTTCGCGAATGACGAGTATTTTTGTTTGTTGCTTTTAGTCTCGTGCTTTACTGTTTTACTGTTTCTTACGCAAACCTAATAATTCTTTCTTCTTTCTTATCTGCGCTAATTTGCTCGCACGAGTGCGAAACACGTGATTTTCCGACGTACTCACCAAGGGTTTTCTCGCGACGGTGCTCGCGTCGCTATAGGACGTGACTTTCACATAGGGACTGGAGCTTGACATCGGCACGGTTATCATTTTGTCTTCCGTTAATTTGTCTCCGGTTAATTTCGAAGATTTTTTTTTCACCGAACACTTCCGGTTGCACGTTGCATTCGCCGCGGTTGCATCATCGATCGAGTCGGAAACTGATCGGTTTTTCGGATCGAAGAGTTTGTTTGTCCGAACTTATCGTTTCTCAATTACACGCACTGTGTGTTTCTCTTGAAGAGAATTTTGTCGTCGTTCACTTCCCGTTGATTGTCTTCAATAGCCACGAGAGAGTTCCCCAGAAACGAGGCAGTCAGTGTCACAAGAAGTGTTCGCGCGAGGAATGCCAATAGAAGAAGCGTCTCGAGAAACGCGCAAATTAATTTGCACGAATGAGAATGTGCAAATTTGCACTCATGAAAGTCCAATCCCAACCGAACGTAACAACAATATTCGAAAACGAATTTCGAGCGAACAGCGATCGTCTTCAACTACATTTGTTCAATGGTTAAATATATGTAACAAAAATATCAAACATTTCGCAAAATTCACTGTTTAAATCTAAAGCCCGTTATAATATTTTCACTGTTCTATCTTTTTTGAGAATTGAGGACAAACTCCTCGCGCGATCTAAAAACTTCTACACCCGTTTTGTTTCGCGGAACGTGTTGTTTTCGCGTTTTAGATCCGTTTTACGTCGTTTGTCTTCTTCGCTGACGGCGGAGCAAACACAGACTGACGTATTCTGAGCGCCGCGACGCCGAATAAACCACTCGATCGGCGGTGGTTGCGTTGCCGCTGTCAGGTTGCCGGCGTCGTCGCCAGCCCCCTGTTTAGGATGCATGAGTTTATTTCCCGAACGATTCCACGAATCTGATAAACAACGAGTTTTCTGATATGGCGCAAGATTTTCGGATACGTCTATCTTCGAAATTACAGCTGATAACTAAAACTCAAAAGTCAATTTTAACGCGAAAGTGCCCCTGTGTGTAACTTGTAATTATCAAATATCAGGTAACTATTGAGTACAATTTTAACCTTAATCCGGTAAAGGTTTTTTTTTTATTTTTTTTTATTTTTTTTAGGTACGTATCCTGTAAACCCTGGACATTTATGTCTAACGCGATTTTTTTACCGGGGTTTACAGAATTACGTGTAAAACGCCAGAAAATTTATGTAATAAAAATTACGTTTGTTCTTATCATTTCTCATCCGACTCTCGCGGGTCTTATTGCTTTTCAATTCTTAGCATCGATAGATATGTATAGTTTTGATCAATAAAAAAGTAAAAAAAAGACCACTGAATATTATGAACAGTATTATTAATTATCTCTTTACCAGCGTTCCCAGAATCGCACCGCGTTAACCGCGACCGATCCTCTCTCCCTCCCCTCTCGCGTTATCGCATTATCTCTCGTTTATGCGGCAACTCGTTTGCGAGAATTTACATACCCGTGTGTTATCATCGCGATGTTTTTCTTTCGCTTTGTGCTACGGAGATGAGACGCAGCGGCGAGAGACGATACCTACAAGTTGCATTTGTTGCACCGCGAGGTATGTATATGTGTATGCAAAGCGAACCGCGTAATCGCTCCGCTCTAACGAGCGATCGCGACCTGTATACATCCGGAACGGAGTGAAATACGAATGCCGATGCACGCCGGTGAACCATGAAAGGTTCTTTTCGTTCCTTTTTCTTCCGATTGCGCAAATCGCGCACTCAAGCGTCACCACACATCGTCGAGTGCTGTCGAACGCAAAACGACACAGTTCGACGACGAGATTAGATAATAAGAAATCGGAAAAAAAGTATTATTTTTCTCAAAATACATTTGATGCAAGTGACTATTTATGTCGCAGACGGTTTGATACGAGACAAATCTTAATTTAAACACACTATGTGCAGATAGAAGAGAATATCCTTGTAAAAATGACACACAGAGTTATATACGTTGCATGCAACTTTGTTGGCCTTGCTGGAGTTACAAGAGCACTTTGTGTGTGTGTTTCGCATAATCGCAAACACGTTTTATTGCCGCAAGAAACCGAGTCCGTGCTTCTTTAATGATAATCATCGGGCGCGAAACGTGACTGGTCACGGGGATAAAAAGCGTGACCGCCTCCCTCCCCCTCCGCCCCAGAAAGGTTAAGGAAAAAACATTTTGTTTTCGTAACGCTTCGCTAAAAAAAACAGGATAAAAACTGGAAAATTCCGGTAAAATTCCACGAACGTTCAATTGCGCTCGGTCACGTGCGTCATCTGTAAAAAGCGTCAAGTGGTAAGTATCAACCGTTAACAATGAGAAGGAAATGCGTGTAACATTGTTGTTATATTGGTGCGTTGATTAGGAGTTGATTAACGTTGTACCGATTGAACGATCGTCGTCGTTACGAACAACTAAATACCGTAATGACACTGTTATTGACGCTGTCTTCGCGCCGATTCAAATCAATCCAACGAAGCGGAAGTTGCGTAATGTCGATTTCTTCTCTCTAACAAAAAACAAAAATTGTGCGTAATAAAAATACAATACTAAAATATTTATTACTACTAGCGAAGATTCGCACGTGCGGTGTGATTTTTACATGATCTCGGATGGGAATTTTCACGCGTAATATTATACAGGATATCCCGTGATGATTAGTAAACCTTGCAGGGAGTGAAAGAGGGTGAAATTTTGAACTAAAAGTTTCTTTTTCATTTTTGGCTTAGACCATTATTTACCAAGTTTTTAACTATTAAAGTTCCCCAATGAGACGGTGCGTATACAAAGTACGCAGGGGCGTCGCGCTTGTTCCGATTACATTGCTTCTGTTACAACTTTATTCTACTATGTCACAGTAGATAATACATGAATAAATAAATAAAAACAGTTACAAATTAATCGACTAATTGATTTATTAGAAAAAATTATTGATACATTGTCCGGGATTAGTGAATACATAAATAATTAATGTTAATGTTCGTGTCTTTTTACGTTTTTATCATTTAAAGAAATAACTCGTATACATAAATGAGTAAGTAATTATTATTTAAATTAATCTATTTTTTTGAATTATAAAAATGTCAAAAGACACGATTAACATTAATTATTTACTTATTAATTATTTATGGATTCATTAATTTTGGACGATGTATCAATAATTTTTCCAAATAAATCAATTAGTTGATTAATTTCTGTTTTTTTATTTATTTATTCATATATTACCTAACGCGACATAGTAGAATGAAGTTTTTAATGCAGAAGCAATGTAATCGGGACAAGCGCGAGAAGTCGCACAGCGCGCGACGCTCCTGCATACTTTGTACGAGAGCCGTCTCATTGAGGAATTTCAATAGTTAAAAACTCGGTAAATAATGATCTAAGCCAAAAATGAAAAAAGAACTTTTAGTTCAAAATTTCACCCTCTTTCACTCCCTGCAGAGCTTACTAATCGTTACGGGACACCTTGTATTTGTATAAACTGCACGTGCTCTCTTCGTAGACGCGTAGTAAACAAGAGCAAAACAAACTACTCACGTTCAATTTTTGCGCTTTCAATTGGACACGTTGACGCGTGTGTCTATTTTTACATCGCAAGACGAAAACAACGAATACGCGCGTTACATGCGAAGAACAATCAATAAATGAAAACTTGACAGGTATCCGTCATTTTCGTGACGTTGTCATTTATTATTTCGAAAGACGCGAATTGCATCCGAAACAACCGTTTATCGATTTTATACGTACGAGTTTGCCGGGGGATTCACTCGCATTATCGCGCGGCGAAAGTGATTCATGATGAAACATCGAAAGAGGCGTTTCTCTGGGGAACTGAACATATTTATCAGCGCGAGCGCATTTGTATCGTCGAAGAAACTGAAAAAAAGAGCTCGATATCTCGGATAGCGACAATATAATAAAAACGTGAAAAGTTGTCAATTAAATTGTTGTCCAAAACAATTTTCGAGAATGTGTGTAAGTCCAATTCGTATCGTCGTACGATGTCGTAAAGTTTTTTTAACTTTCTTAGATCTTGCATTGTCGTTTTTTTTCTTTTATTGTTCGTCTCTATAAGATTATTTATGGCTTTGTTTCAATTCCGATACGAGTGAATCAACCAAAGTTGTTTACAAGCCACCAATATGCGCATTCGAATCGCGTCTTCGATTCAGCTGATCCAGCGTTGCGAGTGACAGCGCCAAGAGATAAAATAAACATATAACAACAACAACGACGAGGTGTCATTACATAACAAGCGGCCAAATGTTTATCATGTGTAAACAGCTCGTGCGACTAATAAAATTGTAAATAGCTGTTTATCAAACCGGTTCTAGCTGCTTTTGCAGCCTCGGGACGAATAGATGCATTGGAACTCGTACGGGAAGAAAGAAGGAAAAAACCACGGGCATCGAGCACATCAGACAGTAATAGCTATTTGCGATTTCTCCGTGACATGAGAAATTTCTGAACGTTTGAGAGATGAACGTCTTTCCCCAAAAAATTGGAGACTTCACTCACCGGAGATTTGCGCTTCCTCGCTTTTTCTCCCAATTTCGTCTATTCGAAAATCAGCGTCGACTTCAAAACCAACTCCCGTTCCCAATCGACTTTCACCGCGCGAGACTGCGTGACAAGGCGAAGCGGGACGAGACATCCGTTTCAAAGATTCGCCACTTGTATTCACGATACGATACGAAGGTGTCTCTCCGCGATGCAATCGGCGCGACGACAGCTCGAGATCTGCGAGCGATAATCCTGACGAATGGTTAAGGACAAACTTAATAATAGTCGCGGCGGAACAACACATATCGCTTGTTAGATTCACGATTGGCCGCTTAGCGAGCAGCGATTCCTCGGCGATTGGCTACTCGGTGATTACATATATCGAGAAGATCAGGATCTGTTTCTCTCTCGCGCTGAGAAACATACGTGTTAGAAGTGATTAGAATGCTAGATTTATTGGAGCGAGACGAATGTAAAATACATATCGCGCAACATACACAAAATCGGCAATCATTCACAAGACACTCCACAAAAACTTGTACTATTATTGTACAATTATTCTATTATAATAATAAATAAATATACATGTAACGCTAATGTGTATTTTAATGTTCTCGTGGCTTAGACCAATAATGACTAATAATAAATATTGTTTTATTCTCAGTATTTGTAATTATTAAATTGAATTAAATATATAATGAAATATATGACGAATGTATAATGTAATTCTTACTCGTTTTTGTGTAAAATACAAATAATACATTTTTACAGACCTTAACGAGCTCGTTCTAAGGCCTATAAAAATGTATTATTGCCGTTTTAAACACATTCTTATCAGCTCATGTTATATATTATACTAAAAACTGAGATATTTTCTGATGCGCACAATACCTGAATCTCACTGATTCTCGTAGACTCGAGATTGTCGCATGAGAAACTCGCCACGAAGTTCTTCCGTGAGCATTCACTCGAAAATCTGCAATCGCGTGCAAAACGACGAACGGTGTTTCCAGAATCAGGTACGCTCCATCCAATCGCAGCTGCAACGTCAATTTCAACGATAGTAATCGCCTCGTTGCGAAAATCGCTTCCTGTTTACATTTTGCGCGTGCACAAAAGCCCGCAATTATCGAACCGCGCGCGATGCGCTATCATTTCGTTTCCCGAAATCGTACGAAGTTACGAAAACATAACCTAACCTAATTCAATTCCGAATGCGAAATTTCAGCGCGTGTGATTGTCCATTAGTTCGCGC